GGTGGCGGTGGGCTGTCCCTGCCTGCCCCTCTGTCCTTGCTGTCTTCTGCTCAGGTCTGCGGCGTTCCTTCATCACCTGCTCTTTGCGCTTGTCCATCCCTCCGCTTCGTAACCCTAACTCCTCTCTGCTCCGCAGCACCGCAAATGACCACTCCAGTTTCTGCTCCTCCTCCTCCCCATCTTCTTCCTCCTCTCTTGCATACATTCCCGCCTCCCTCTCCTTCTTCCCTCCCATGTCCCGCAACTGTGCCTGCAGCCTACCAATCTGCTTCTCTATGTCCTCGGATGACCTCTTTGGCCCACCTGTCCTTTGATAGTAGTCCTTCGCCTGATGTCCCTGTTTCCCACACACCTCACACTTGGGCGCGTCCGGGCATTCCCTCCGGCGGTGCCCAGGCTTGCCACATGTGTCACAATTCTTGCAGTCCCTCTTTATATGCCCTTGTTGCCCACACCTGTGGCAGGTGCGTGTGTCCACCCTTCTCTCCTGCCGATTCTCCTCCCTTGTCCCCTCCTCGGGTATCATTGCTGCTGCCCAGGTAGGTTTTCTTTCTTCTGCCGCTTTTGGCAGGTAGGCCTCATACCGCCGCTGCGCTAGTTCCACCTTTTCCGCCAGCTCAAACACCTCCTCTAGTGTGGCCTCCGCCCCTAGCTCATATACTCGCATTCTCAGCCCCCCGCTCAACCCCTTGTCCAGTCCCCCCAGGAACTTACTTATGAGCATGCTGCTGTCCGTGCAAAAGACATCTTCCGCCAGGTTCATCAATCTCCCGTAATAGGTAAGCAGTGACTCTGTTTTCCCCCGTCTGAACTCCTGAAACTCCCTAATCCTTTCCGCCGTATGCCCCGGGAATTGCTTCCGAAGGCGCTCCAGGAACAGTATCGTGGGGTCCTCATCATCCTCCTCCGCCCTTCTCAGCCACTCCTTCATTTTCATGCGGTACAGCGTCTCTGCCTCCCCTCCCAAGGTGTTAGGCAAACTTAAGAAGAACTCGATCGGGTCCATTCCGCTACGGTCACAGCGGTACTTCACGTTACCTATCTGCATAAGGTAGTTCCTCAGGTTGCTCCCTATTCCTATGTCTCCCGTGAACCTCACCGGCACCTCCACCCGTGGCATTGCTGCCGCACTCCATCTCCCCGTCTCCCACGTCCCTGACTCCTCTCCTGCCGGATGGCCATACTCCCTGCCCCTTGCTCCTGATCGCCTGCTCTTTGTGCTCCCTCCGTACAACGCACGCTCTATGCCTTCCCTCGCAGCTCTTGCTCCCCTCGAGCCTTCCCTCACACGCTCAGACCTTCCCTGCCATCTCGGGCTCGGGCTACGCCTCTCGCTGGCCTTCGCGCCGCTCTCTTCTTGCCTTTCCCTGCGTTGACCCCTTGCCTCAGGTGATTCTCCGTCCTTGCGCTGGTCTTGCTTACCATGCCTGCGACGGGCCCGGTCATACTCCTCTTCGCTCTCAGACTCAGTCTCAATTTCCCGTTCCTGGCGCCGCCTCTCATATCTCTGTTCCTCCTCTTCTTTCCTCCTTCTTACCCCATCCTCAGGTGTCTTTTCCGCCTCTGACTTTCCTCGCGATAATCCTCTCCTTTCCTCACGATGCTCATTTCCTCTCTGCTGTCGATCATCTGCGTCCGCGCGCGACCTTCCTCCCTCTTCTCGTTCGCTTCGCGCATCTCTCTCATGGCGATCCCCTCCCTCATACGGCTCTGGCAACCTTCGCATGCCCATCGCCCTTCGTCCCCTCCTCCCGTACCTTTCACGCGGCTCAGGCGAACAGTACGCCCCTGCCTGCTCGCGCTGATGGCGGACACCTTCACCGCGTCCGACTGAAAAGTGATCTGCTTCCGCGCGCGCGCGAGGCTCCTCTCCGTTCTCGCGTACTGGATCCGTCGCGTCACGCTCCGCCCCTTCTCCCTTCTGGCCCATTTCTCCGTCCTCATGCTCCTCCGCATCCGCGGCCTCTCCCTCTTCAGGTTCCTTCACGCCGTCCCGCGCAATTGGGACATCGTCATCGTCGACCCCGTCGTCCTCGCTTAACGACTCTAACTGGTCGCGCACATCAACCTCCTCGAGGCGCTGGACGCCCTCGCTGCGACTCAGCAGATTCCAAGGATCGCTTCGCGTGGTTAGTGATCTGGGAACTGACTCCGCAAAACGTCCAGGCTCACCTTCCGCGCGTCGATTCCTTTCAAGCATTACCCGATCCGCGCGGTATGCTTCCGTACGCGGCGAGCGTACTGGCGATCTCCCGCGCTCTCGTGAGCGCATCCTCCGCTGCACTCCAGGACCCCGTCGTCTGTAGGTCCTAGCCCATCGATGCTCGTGGCAGTCCATACTGCGCGTTTCTTCTCTCGTTTGTGAGGAATCCGTCCCCCACACTTGGCTACTCCGAGTGGCCTCGTCACCTGGCTTAGAAAGCTTAGATCAGCAACTTAATCCACTATAGAGAGTAAACAAACGAGAGAACTAATCGAGTGATGTTTCTCTAGGCTATAAATCTACCCTCGGCCAAGTCGCCAATGTCTCAGAGTTCTGGTTGAGTTCGGGCCGCTCCAGCTTGGTATTGGCCAGAGTGATTTCCCAGTTGCTCGAGGCTCTTGGGTTCACTTCTTGCGCGCCTCGCTGGTCCCCATGCCACCAACTTCGCGTCACTCTCCCTGCTGCCCACCAACCTGCTTACAAGTCAAATAACATTCTACACCCCGCTCCATATGCTACAGCACATCACATTGCACCGTATTAGCGTTAACAGGATGAATTGCAACTTCCCTCAGTGAATTCTGTGACAGCAGGAAGAGTTGCCTTATCGGCAACTACTGCGCTCCCTCCTTTCCCCTCATCAGCTTCCACCTCCTCAAGGAAAACCGCGAAGATCCGTGCCGCTCGCTTTACCAGCTACCGCACACGAACAGCATTGATGATGGATGTGGAGGATGTGGCCCCATCACTCCACTGTGGCAGCTCCCGGAACTCCCCGTCTACCTTGACGCTATAGCTTCGCTGAGCCCAATCGAACTGAGTACTAACCATTCGTAGCCAATCCCTCCCGAATATGAAATCGTAACCGTCCAGCGTCGTAGAGTCGAAGTCACGCCTAACCGTAATCGGTCCTAGCACTACGCGCAACTTGCGAATGACTGGTCCTATGTGAAGTGGCGTCCCATCTACCATGCGAGCGTCCTTGAAGTTGACTGCCGAATCTGCTTTGAGATAGAGACGACTAACTAATGAAGACCAAACGAACGAGTGGCTAGCTCCGCTATCGATGAGAATCTTGACTGGAACACCGCGAAGCTTCCCTAGAAGCACGACTGGACGATGAACAGCGTCTACCGAGTTCGGCGTAGATGACTGTTCCAGAGCTGTCTCGTCTACGTCTGTAAACTTGGTGGGTACGGAAGCCTCCACACCAGCTAGCGACCCGCTATCTACTGGCGGTTTCCGTTTCCCTGCTGCCGCTCCTTAAGATGTGGGCAGTCCCGCTTCATGCGTCCCGGCTTTTTGCAGTAGTGACAGTTCCCCCTAAAACCCGTTCGCTGTGAGCCGTCACTGTTAACTGCACCAATCTCCATGGGCGACGGTCCGTCCCTCGATCGAGTGTCGTTGATCGGTCTGTTGTATCCCCTATCGCGATTGTCACGACCTCGTCGGCTTCGTACTGCGTTGACGCGTTCTGCAGCTGCGATAACTGACTCGAAGGTGGACAACCCGTGAATCGCTATAATTTCCGCTATGTCCGGCTTCAACCCTTCGAAGTAGCTATCGCGCATCTCTGCTTCCGTGATGTCATCTATTTCGTTGTAGATGCTCAAGAAACGTCGTGTGTACTCCTGGACGTTTCCTATGTGTCGGAAATGACGCAGACGCTTCCTAGCAGCTTCGGAGGGCGTTCACCAAATCGAACCTACTTTTCAGCGCCGCTTCAAATCCTTCCCATGTGGTCGGAACCGTGGTAACACCCAAAGCTAAACTCCCTAAGCTCGAAGTTACAGGTGCATGCCCCTCGCCCTGTTGATGCCCATCCGTCTGAGCCCTTCTTACAGCAGTTTGCGTGAGTTGGCACCGCCACTCCAAGGCCGGGCCCGTCAGCAGCGTAACGGAGTACTCGATCCGCTGCTGCGCATCCGCCTCTTGCACTCCGCTCGCGGCGAAGTAGTTGTTGAGCATGAAAATCCACGTCCGCACGTTCGCGTCGTGTTGTCTTGGGTCGAACGGCTCTGGCTTCTGCGGCTTGAGCGCGCTTCGACGTTCCGGCAGCGCTTCCGCGCCAGTCGACGTGTTGGGTGCTAGAGATGGTGCGGCATGACCATGAGAGATTGACGCGAATTCACGAAGCTGTTGCATTTCAACCCGTACCTGACGATTTTCCAACACCAACTGTTCGAGTTGGCGCATGAGTTGAGCAAGCGTGTTGCCCATGTCGTTGGGGAGAGCGTTCATGGTCTCGTCCATGTTGGCTCGACTACTCCAAGTCTGCTAGTCGGCACCGCGGGACGATGGCGTCGTAGTCTCGTTGTAGACGGTCGCTCGTTGGAAGTCGCTCCCCGCGAAGGCTCTGATACCAAGTGTTAGGCCCCTTGGCCTAAATCCGCTAAAGAATATCGGGGTTGACTAAATTGAGGATAAAGCGCGGCGGAAGACTTTGGCGAAAGATGTGAGTAATTGATAGATGAGAATTGGTTGATATTGGTGGATACAAGCGAGGATGATATAGCATGCAAGGTCGAATGTCGGAAAGTACTTCGTGGTACTAGAAAGTAGAAGCAAGAAAGGTAGAGTGCCACGTGGCACTAAGAAATCTGAAAAGATAAGGATAAGGATGGGGTTGAGAGTACTGTTCAAATGGAACAGTAAACACCCCTCTAAAAGCTGTGTGTGAATTAGTTAGTGTAGGCGATGGGGTAGCTGCTGTTGGCACTGGATAGCGCACTTCGATGTGCTGCTGCCAGAGCTGACGAACTTCATTATATGTCCTACTTTTCATATCACCTTTTTAATGCTAATTTTGTAGGTGCAATGTTTTGTTTGTTGATTGGCACAGTATACGGTACAAGCAAATCAACATGCATTGTGTGACTGCGCGAAGAAAAGAAGTCATTTTCGCAAACTGAGACAATCCCGTGGGCCTGCAATGACAATGGATGAACAGCCTCCACGCACATAACACACCAAAACGATCCCGTAGGACCGCGGCGAGTTCAACGAGTCGCCAAAGCCGAAAGCAACTCCATCGTAGCCCCGTCGCAACTCTGACATGAGCTAATTTCTAAACACGCCATTAAATAGATGCCGCATCATTCTCCCTTTTTTTTTTCTGTCCACCTCATCACTCGGCCTCGCCACTAACCAGTAACCAGTAACCAATAACCACGCTCGCATCCTCCCCTAACTCCTGGTCTCGCGTCGTCGGCACTCGGCCGCGGCGCGACAGAACAGTAGGTCTTCTGTCCTCGATTGCACGCCTCGCTTCCTCGTCCCACCCCGCCGTCCGTTGCGATTATTCTCCACTTGCGTCCCTCTCGCCCCCTCTCGATTAAGTTCCCCCCCCTTCCTCGCCTTTTACGCGCCCCGTCCTTCCCGCCTTCCTCTCCCTCCCCATTTTTTCTCCCTTTCCCCTTCATCTCCCCCCATCCTCTCCCTCCCCCTTTCCTCTCCCTCCCCATTTCCTCTTCCTTCACCCTCCCTTCCTCCCTCCCTCCCTCCTCCCTGTCTCCCTCCCCCACTCCCTCCCTCCCTCTCCCTCCCTCCCTCCCTCCCTCCCTCCCTCCCTCCCTCCCTCCCTCCCTCCCTCCCTCCCTCCCTCCCTCCCTCCCTCCCTCCCTCCCTCCCTCCCTCCCTCCCTCCCACCCTCCCTCTTTCCCCCACTCCCTCCCTCCCTCCTTCCCTGTCTCCCCCTTCCCTTTCTCCCCGTCTCCTCTTACCTCTGTACCTCCACCGCACCACACACCACCGTGTCGTTCTCAGAACTTATCCTGTTCCCTGCTCGTTTTCCCTGTATTTCCCCTTGTTTGTTACAGGCGCGCATTGCTGCTGTGCGCCCGTATCAATGGCTTCTAAGAGCAACGCTTCAATGTGAGCGGGTGGTGTTTTAAGTCTTCACAGGTCTCAAAGCTGAAATACTTATCCTCGCTCTCTTTCACTGCTCCTCTGTCACCCTCCCACTCCCTCTCTTTCCCTGCTTTGTAGAAATGTGCTTTTATCAACGAAAGAAAGAAATCAGTGCATAGAGCCCCGCTCGTGTGCCTGAACGCGTTTCATGCGTCTGGTTGGATGGTTGCATTGCATTGCATGAACAAAGCTCTCACAGTGCTCTCTGTGCTCATCTCTCTTCTTCTCCAACCCCACCTTCGCCCTTCCCGTTCTCCACCATCAGTGCCTCCTCCTCCCAGCACCGCCCGCCAACCGGCATCGAAGTGCTCTTTGCACTCCGGCCCCCCTCTGCTGCTGCTCCCTCCTCTGCCGCCCCCTCCTCGGATTCTCCGTCCTCTGCTGCTGCTCCTTGCTCGGCGGTTCCTTCCCCTGACGCTGCTCCCTCCACTGCCGTTGACAAGGGCTCGTTACAAGCACCTTCAGCTACACCCTCCGCTCTCCCTGCTAAGACCTGGATACAAGCACCGTCTGGTGCTCCCTCCTCTGTTCCCACTAAGCCCTCGTTACAGGCACCCTCCACTGCACCTTCCACAGCCACCCTCACAACTGCCCCCCCTGCTGCAGCCTCCACAGCCCCTCTCAAGAGCGTGTGCAAAGAACCCTCCGCTCCTCCCCCCCCCCCTCCCCTCTTGAAACGCCCGGTAAGGGACCCATTATCTACTACCACCACCACATCCTCTGGCAAGACTGGTTGCTCCTCCGCCGCTGCTGTCACAGCCCCTCACAAGAGCGCAGCGGCAGCAGCCCCCTCTCCTGCCCCCACTGCGCAATGCAAGACCTCGTTACAAGAACCCTTTGCTGCTGCTCCCTCCGCTGCCCCTGCTAAGAGTGCATCAGGCACCCCACTTGGTCTTTCCACTGCTGCTCCGAAGTCCTTGTTTGGGAAAGCCCCTGCTGCTCCCGCCCAGGCCCCAATAAAGCATTCATTAAAAGCACACCTAGCTGCTCCCGCCACTGCTTCTGCAAAGTATGCTTCAGAAGGCTGGAGGTCGGGAGCGGGCAATGCAGGTGTGGGGAGGGGTGGTGGTGGGAGGGAGGCGGAGGAAGGTCCGTGGAGAGAGGGCGGCAGACTTGGAAAGGGCGCAGAAAGAGAAGGGAGTGGTGGGCACGTGAAGAGCGGTGGGCTTGTGAGGAATGCTGGGGTTGTGAGGAGTGGGAGCAAGGAAGGTAGAGGGTATGGGAATTGTGTGAAGGCTGATGGCAGGGTAGGGGCAGGGAGAGGTGGAGTGGACGGTGCAGATGTAGGGAGGGGTGGAGTGAACGGTGCAGATGTAGGGAGTGCAGGAAAGGTAGACCGGGGAGTGGCGAGAGCTGATGGTGAGGGGGTAAGAGTGGGGGGTGAGTGGAGAGAGGGGGGCCAGCAGGTGAAGAGTGTGTGGGGCGTGGGGAAGGGGAAGGAATCAAAGGCTGGTGGCAAGACAGGTGCTGGGTCAGTTGCAGGGAGTGTGGGGAAGCAAGGCACTGGAGTGGGAATCGGTGGTGGTAATGGTGGCAACGGGGGTCGATTGGAGGGGAAGAGACAACAAGAGGGTGCTTGGCTGGCGAAGGGTGCTGGTGGGGCTTCAGGAAAGGTGAAGGGTGTGGGCCCGCCTGCGCATGCTGTGAGAGTTGGAGGTGTAAGAAAGGAAAATGTGGGGACAAGTGCAGTTCTCAGGGGGATGGGCGGTGGTGGTGGCGAGCAGAGAAGAGAAGGAGATGCGGTTACAGGAAGCAAAGGGGCACCAGTCACAGGAAAGGTGTTGGGAGGGAAGGGGGTTGGAGTGAGGGAACACGGAGTGAGGGAATACGGAGGGGCGAAGATGGCACCAACAACCTTAGGCTTCAAACTGGGAGGCAGAAAATTGGGAGGGAGCAAGATGGGAGGGAGCAAAGAAGGGATGAGGATAGGAGCAGCAAGGGAGATTGGTGCAAAGAGAATTTGTGAAAGCAAGGTGGGAGAAAAGAAGGGTTACTCGAGACTGGTTAAAGTTGGAGCGTTGAGGGCAAGAGCATTGGAGGGAAAGCGTGAGAAGGGGAGAGATGCGGAGAGGGACAGATGGAGGGATGACTGGAGTGAGAAGAGGAGAGAGGATGGGAGTGAGGAGAGGAGAGAGGATGAGAGTGAGAATAGGAGGGAAGATGAGAGTGCAAAGAGTTTAGATGATGAGAGCGAAAAGTGGAGAGGGAATGAGAGTGGGAAGAGGATAGATGACGAGAGTGAAAAGAGGAGAGAGAATATGAGTGAGAAGAGGAGAGAGAATAAGAGTGAGAAGAGGAGAGAGGATGAGAGTGAGAAGAGGAGAGAGGATAATAGTGAGAAGAGGAGAGATTATGAGAGTGAAAAGACAAGAGAGGATGAGAGTGAGAAGGGGAGAGAGGATGAGAGTGAGAAGGGGAGAGAGAATAAGAGTGAGAAGAGGAGAGAGGATGAGAGTGAGAAGTGGAAAGAGGATGAGAGTGAGAAAAGGAGAGAGGATGGGAGTGAGAAAAGGAGAGAGGATGAGAGTGGGAAAAGGAGGGAGGATGAGAGCAAGGAAGTGAGGGATGGCAGGAAAGGGGAAGAGTGGGATGCTGATACTGAGGCCAGCAGGGATGCGGAGAGGGAAGGTGGTTTTGATGCTGGGCAGCGTTTGTTGGGAACGAATTGGGGTACTGGAGAGGAGGGATGGGGGATAGATGAGGGGGACTGGAATGAGGAGGAGGAGGGGAAAGAGGAGGACAAGCAGGAGAAGGGGGAGGATCAAGAAGAGGAGGAGGAGGAGGAAGAGGAAGAGGAGGAAAAGGCTGAGAAGCAGGGGCAAGGAGAGAAAGCGAAGGAAGAGGAGGGCAGGGAGCAGGGAAGAAGGGAAGGGAGTTCGGAGGTAGAAGTCGGAAGTGAGATGTGTGATGGAGTCAGTGGGGGCTTTGGAGAAGCTAGGCGGATATTCAGTGGTGTTGAGGATGAGGGTGACCATGCTGTGAGCCTGAGAGTTAGTGCAGCTGCTCACAGTGCCGCTACCCTCGCTCCTCCTCTCCCTGCTGAAGTGCCAATGGTGAGAGCGGATGTTGCAAGAGAAGGGGACAATGTTGAGGCTGTGGGATTGACAGCTGAAGATAGTGATTCAGGAGTCTGGATGATGCTTGATGAAGTGAGGGAGGGAGTTTTTAGGAAGGACGAGGAGGGAGGGGGGAAGGAAGAGAAGAAGGGAGTGATAGAGGAACAGGCAAAGGGAGAAGTAGAGAAAGGGGAGGAGATACGGGAAGAGGAAGTGGAGAAGGCGAGGGGAGAAGCAGAGGAGAGAAGGGAAGAGCAAGAGGAGAGAAGGAAAGAGCTAGAGGAGAGGAGAATGGAAGAGCAAGAGGAGAGGAGACGGGACGAGCAAGAAGAGAGGAGAAGGGAAGAGGAGAAGAGAATGGAGGAGCAAGAGCAGGAGAGGAGGGAAAAGGAGAAGCAAAGGGAAGCGGAAGAGGAAGATGAGAAAAGAAGGGACGAGGGAGAGGATACACGAATAGAAGAGGTAGAGGAAGATGAGAAAAGGAGGAAGGAGGGAGAGGAGGAAGGAAGAAAAGAGGGAGAGGAGAAACGAAGGGAAAAGGAAGAGCAGCAAAGGTGGGGAGAGGGAGAGGAGAGCAGCGATGAGGAGGAGGAGGAGGAGCAGCGATGGCAGCCCCTGGCGAATGGGCGAAAGGCAGAGCCAAGCAGTGTTGGAGGGGGGGCTGTGGTGCAACACACCCAGGTAACCACCTAATTCATTTCCTTTCAATGAGCGTGCTCACACTCATTGAATGAGTGCTTGAATAGGTGCGAACACGCAGGTAAGCAATACGTCTCTCAATCTTGTGGCTATCGGGTGTGGCGAGCCTTGGCGAGGTGAACGGTGAACATCTCTTCAATATACCTCCTTTCGGGAAATCTTGCCCTCTCATTATACTTTGTACCCTCCTTGCCTCTTCTGCTTGTTTCTTCAATCTCATGATCATGGGGTCACCACTCAAGACGCTTTTTCCCCATGCCTTGTTGATGTGCTGGGCAGGAGATCGGCGGCAGCTTTCGACCTGTCAGGAGGCAAGTGCTGCGCTGTGCCATGCAACAGGATTACGTGCAGGATGGCATGCAGGATGGCAGGCATGATGGCATGCAGATACAGTATGACATGGATGAGGAGGATGCTGCGTGGCTGACGGCCTACAACAGCAGACTCACCCATGCCTATGCCCATGCGCATGCGCATGAGCGTACAAGAGCTGGGAAAGAGCAGTCAGGGAGTGGGAGTGATGAGGCGTGTGCGAAGCTAAGTCTGTCAGAGGAGGCGTTTGAGGCGTGCATGGCCTCTCTGGACTTGCACCCTTCTGCCGCTGGTCACTATGCTGCTCCTTCTGCTGCTGCTGCTGCTGCTGCTGATGGTGATGGTGCTGCTGCGGCTGCGGCTGCTGCTGTTGCTGTTGCTGTTGATGATGATGACGATGATGGTGTTTCTGGTGATGTGGATGCTGCCTGTGCACGTGCTGCTGGGGGGGTGGTCCACGCTGATGGTTCTGATCTCGATAACATGCCAGGAGGCTTGAGCGCAGCAAGGAAGGAGGGCGGGGTAGGAGCGCCACAGGGGCCAAAGACCAAGCGGCATGATGCCGAGGCACTGCGATGCGATGTGTGCTTCCAGCCGGGGGAGACGCCCTACAACCCTGTGAGTGGCGCACCATGCATGCATGCATGCACCATGCTTATTGCCTGACTCAGAAGCCATCATGTGAGCAAGTGTCACGGGGGGCAGTGAGCCATGATGCGGAGGTGGCATTGCGATGCGACGTGTGCTTCCAACCGGGGGAGACGCCCTACAACCCTGTGAGTGCCGCACCATGCATGCATGCCTGTGAGTGCCGCGCCATCCATGCATGCATGCATGCATGCATACAGGCATGCTCATTTTGCCATGCAGAGGCGTGTGGCAGCCACAAGTCCCCGCAGTCACCAGCATGCAACATGCTTCTCTCTTACACCTGACCCTCTCCCCCCGTTCACCCTCTCCCCGATCATTCGCCCTCTCTCCCCCCCCCCCCCCCCCAATCAGTTCCTCTGCTGCTCCCTCTGCGCCACAGCCGTCCACCAGCTCTGCTACGGCGCCGTGGGCCTTCCCCCCTTCTTGGCTGCTGTTTGAGTCATTTTTCACCTATTTTCCGGCCAATCCGCCCCCTCACCGCAATCCACCTCTCTCCACCCATCCACCCTCTCCCTCTCTCCCCCCCCACCCATCAGTTCCTCTGCTGCTCCCTCTGCGCCACAGCTGTCCACCAACTCTGCTACGGTGCTGTGGGCCTCCCCCCCCTCTGGGCTGCGCGCTCCCTCCTCCCCCCCTCCCTGCACGCCCCCCCCCTGCCGCCCCTGCTCCCACTGGCTAGCGACGGGAAGGCAGAGGGAGAAGGGCCGGGCAGGGAGACAGTCCAGAGCGGGCATGGTGGTGATGGCGGTGCTGCTGGTGCCACTGCTGGTGATGGCGGTGCTGCTGGACAGGGCGTGCAGCTGAGCAAGCAGGCAGCAGCGAGGCGGTTCAAGTGGCGCTGTGTGCCGTGCCATCTCTACGCCCGAGCATGCAGCAGCGGCGGCGGCGCTGCTGCTGCAAACACCTGCTCCCAGCCGCCTCCCCTCACGTGAGTACCAGGTGGTTCAAGTCAAGTGGCGCTCTGTGTGTACAGTGTGCCGTGCCATCTGTACGCCAGAGCATGCAGCAGCGGTGGCGCTGCTAGCAGCACCTGCTCCCAGCTGCCTCCCCTCACGTGAGTATGCGTGCATGCAGGGGGGTCCCCTTACTAAGTGGTTCAAGTCAAGTGGCGCTGTGTGCCGTGCCATCTCTACGCCAGAGCATGCAGCAGTGGCGGCGGCGCTGCTGCTGCCAATACCTACTCACAGCCGCCTCCCTTGACGTGAGTATGTGAGGTGCACACCTCCTGACCACCTCATGCATGTGCTCCTGCCTCTGCTGCCGAGCCCCTCTCACTCTTATCATTTTCATTTCCGACATGCTTTCACCCCCCTCTCGAGATGCCTCCACGGCTTTCAACCTTTGAAGCTGCACCGTTGCATATGTTTCCTGTCTGCTGGTCCTGAACACTACAGAACAACCCGTCACCCCGCATCCCCTGCTTTCGAGGCACCTCAAAATAGGTGTCTGTTTGCTACCAGTCCTTGCCCCACAACCATCAACCCGTCGCCCCCCACCCACCCCCCTCCGCAGCTGTGCATTATGCCGAACCACAGGAGGAGGGGCGTTCAAGCCGTGCGTGGACGGGCCACTGCCAGCCGATGCCGAGAGGCAGGTGGAGGGAGGAGAGCGTGGGGAACGTGGGGAATGTGTGGGGAGGGCAGAGGAGCAATTGACGGGGGAGGAGGGGCGTTTCGTAAAATCAGAGGGGCGTGTGGGAGGAGCAGGGACCAGAGGGGAAGCTGGTGGGGAGCCAGGTGGTGAGAGGAAGGAAAATCGGGCCCTGATGATGAGGAAGCAAGCAGAAAGCAGGCAGCGGAGGAGGAGGAGAGAGGGGCAAGAGCAGCAGCAGGGGCGAATCTCGAGGAAGGATGCAGGACGAGAGGGGAAGGGGAGTGAAAGGAGGGGTGCTGAATCTGTCCGAGATGGTGGCAAAGCTGGGGGAAAACGGCAGAGGGAGCGAGAGGGTGGAAATGGGAGAGAGGGAGAGGGTAGAGGAGGAGAGGTTAATGGGAAGGGCAGGCAGGGTGGAGGGAGAAGTGAGAAGCAAGGAGGGAGCGACAAAGAGCAGCGTGGGATCGGTGGATTTGGCTCTAAGGGGGAAAAGAAGAGGAGAAGTGATGACTGCGTGGACCCAAGCAGTGACAGAAGTAGCAGCAGTAGCGGTGACAGCAGTAGTGGCAATGGGAGTGAGAGTGGAAGCAGGAGTGAGAGCGAGAGTGGTAGTGGCAGTGGGAGCAGCAGCAGCAGCAGTGGGTGCAGTGGGAGCAGCAGCGATGAGAGCAGCAAAAGCAACGGCCACGATGGCATGACACACAAGATCAGAAGGCGGGAAGGAGGAATGCAAGGGCAGGGTGAAAAGAGCAGAGTGGGGCAGGGGAAGGGCAGGCACAGGCACGAGTGGCAAGCAAGGGTTGGTTTGAAGAGAGACGGCAGCAGCTGCCAAGAAGTTGGCAGAGGAATGAAAGGAGACGGTGAGATGAAGGCAGTGGGTGCTGCTGGTCCTGTCACGCTGAAAGAGGGGCGCAGTGGGATGAAGGAGGGAGTTGAGCACAGCGTGCTGCAGAGGGAGCGTGGCAGCGGTGGGAGGGATGTGGCAGGGGAAGTGAAGGGAACGTGCAGCGCAAGTGGTAGCAGTGGAGGTCGAGGGAAGGGTGATCCGGGCAGGGGTCATGATGACAAGGCCATGTGTCGACAAGTCCGGGACATGTGTGATGAGGGCAACGCGAGGCATCAAGGGGACATGGACATGCCTCTTGCATCAAGAGACGTACCACTTGTGTCGAAGCGCATGCCAGCTGCATCAAAAGACATGCCAGCAGCGTTGAGGCACCTGCGCTGGGTGCATGTTACATGCGCTCTCTTCGACTGCCATGTGTACTTCGGCAGTGCTGAGTCGCTCCAACCCATCATGTGAGTCGCTCCAACCCATCATGTGAGTCGCTCCAACCCATCATGTGAGTCGCTCCAACCCATCATGTGAGTCGCTCCAACCCATCATGTGAGTCGCTCCAACCCATCATGTGAGTCGCTCCAACCCATCATGTGAGTCGCTCCAACCCATCATGTGAGTCGCTCCAACCCATCATGTGAGTCGCTCCAACCCATCATGTGAGTCGCTCCAACCCATCATGTGAGTTCGTTTCTTCTCCTGTTGTTTCCTTTCCTTACTACCCAACTCTTGTCGGCCTCTGTTGATCTCTCCTTTTCCACTGTCCCAAACCTCTGTCTTCCCTTCTCCCTCTTTGCTCCCCCTTATCCTTCCCTCTGTCACTCCTCCTGTCTCTCTTCTTCCACGCACAGGGGTGTGGCAGCTGCTGCAAAGAAGAGGGCGGAGCGCAGGCAGCATTCACTAGCAGCACCAGCAGCAGCAGCAGCAGCAGCAGCAGCAGCAGCAGCAGCAGCAGCAGCAGCAGCAGCAGCAGTGGAGTGCTGTACCTGGTGTCATGAGCCCGACGGTCCTCTCGACCTGCTGCCCTGCGCCTACCCTCTCTGCCCCACCCGATTTCACGTTCGCTGCGGCCTGCTGCATGGCTGCTCCGCTATTGTAAGACTCGCTAAGACTCCCTCTTATTGCGGATCGGGTGGTTGTGCCGCGAACCTTGGCAGGCGAAAGAAAACTCTCTGGCTTTAAGTTGAAATAATTCTCGTGCTAACCAGAAGTACCAACCTATTTTCTCCGTCTCCTTTTCCTTCTATCTCTCCCCCCACTTCCCTTCCCCCTATCTCCTAGGTGCGAGAGACCGACCTGTACCAGCGCCAAGTGATGGCCTTGTGTGCCGCTCACGCTGCAGCTGTGCAGGGGGGTGAGGAGACAGCAGCCACTCCCTCAGGTGCTCATGCCACACATGGCACTGCCACACGTGGGGCTGCCATGCATGAGAACACAGCAGGGGTTGCTGACCATGTGGCAGCAGCGTCTTTAGATGAAGGCTTTGGTGGGGCTCAGGTGGAGAGGGAGCAGAGGCACGCAGACGGAGAGACGGGTCACGTGGGGGCAGTGAAAGCGGCTGTTGATGAGGTGCCTCCAGGGTGGGAGTCTGGATTTTTGGGGGAGCATCTGGGGGCTGTGAGGGAGCATTGGAGGAGGCGACGAGAGGCAAATGGAGGCATGCCCTCGCTCCTTCACCTCGCGCATGTGAGTGGCGGCCCTATGCCATGCTCGTGAGTGGATGCAATGTACCGTGCTTTCGTGAGTTGCCACCATTTTTTAGGCGCCTCCAAAATCATTCACCATCCGCCTCCCATGGCACGCAGGGGTCACCTCACCCGCCCTCCTTAATTATCCCTCTCCTCCTCCACTTCCTTCCCTCTTCATTTTCTTCCCTCCCCCTTTGCTTGCTTGCCCATCAGGCCCGAATGCAGCAGCTAGAGGCAGCTCAGCTCACACCATCGACTCCCCTCCATGAGAAGGTCTCTCCTTCCTCCAACCTCCCCAGTCCTTGTGATGCTGCTGCCGCCCCTGCTTCTGCCACCGCTGCTGCTGCCTCTGTTGCTGCCACTGCTGCTGCTACTGCCACCGTTGATGGTGATGGTGGTCGAGCTGGTCATGATGATGGTGGAGACGATGGGGCGAGTGCTGATGGCGCAAGAGACCCATGGGAGATGCAGCAGGTGCAGGAGACAGAGGAACACGATGAGCAGAAGAGGGAGAGTGGTGAGAGGAGAGCAGGAGTGGTCACAGCAGTGTGCGATGAGAGGAAAAGAAGGAATGGTGAGAGGAAGGGAGAGAGTGCTGGGATGAAGAAGCAGCATATTGCAGCGAAGGAGTGTGAAACCAAGCCCCTCGCACCACCTCCACCACCTCCACCTCCACCTCCACCACCACCACCTCCACCACCACCACCTCCACCTGCCTCAGCAGCAACGTCTATTGCTGCAGCAGCAGCGACAGCAGCAACGGCAGCAGCAGCAGCAGCTTCTGGTACTGATGGGAACAAATCTGCATGTGTGTGGTGCGCGGGCCACGGAGCAGCAGTGCAGTGCTCCCTGTGCGCCCTCCGATTCTGCTACCAGTGCTTCAAGCGTCGCAAGGGCTACGGCGTCAAGGGGTGGACCACGGCCCTGCGCCAGCCCTCCTACACGTGCCGTGGGTGCTTGGGGGAGGAGGCACGTGTGGATGTGAGTGCGCATGGGGATGCGGGCATGGGTATGCCTAGGGATGCGGATGTGCATGGGGGTGTGGGTGTGGTTGCACGTGTCACAGGGCAGACAGGTGCTGGTGGTCATGCGGGTATGGGTGTGCGGTATAGGGACGAAGGGAGGGTTGGGAGTGAGGTGAGAGGGGGGGCATTGGTGGGAGCTGATGGGGGTGTGGAGGGAGGTGTGGAAGGAGGTGTGGAGAGAGGTGGGAGGCAGAAGAGGTTGCAGGAGGTGATGTGGGGAGAAGGGGGCGGTGAGGAGGTGGTTGAAAACGGTGGCAAGGTGGTTGGAAACGGTGGCAAGGTGGTTGAGAACGGTGGCAAGGTGGTTGGGGGAGGGCGTGTGAAGCGAGGGAGGAGGCAAGTCGAGGAGGAAGAGGAGGAGGGAGAAGAGGAGCAGGAGGAGGGAGTGGAGGAAGAAGAAGAGGAGAGAGAGGAGGAGGAGGAGGATGAGGAGGAAGAAGAGGAGGAAGAGGAGGAGGATAGGCGGGGTGGGAGAGACATTGATTTTGAAGAGGAGATAGGGGTGGGTCTGCTGAGCAGGGGTGGGGGAAGGCGAGCAGGGGAACGGGAGAAAGAGAGGACGAGCAGGGTTATGGAGCGAGGGAGAGGCAGGCAAGGGAGAGGAAGAGGTAGGGGAGACGGAGGGAGGGTCGGTGACTGGTTGGCAGATGTGCCATGCAGTGAGGAGGAAGAATCAGAAGGGGTAAGATTTGGTGCGAGGGGTAAGGGGAGAGGTGGAAGGGGTGGGCTTAGGGGAAGGGACGTGTGGGAAGTAACAGAGGGGGATGAGAAGAGGAGTGAGTGTGGGGAGGGGGGGGGAGGAGGAGGAGGAGGAGGAGGAGGAGGAGGAGGAGGAGGAGGAGGAGGAGGAGGAGGAGGAGGAGGAGGAGGAGGAGGAGGAGGAGGAGGAGAAGGAGGAGGAGGAGGAGGAGGTGTGTGTGCGATTTCAATTTAGTAGTGAGTGTGGGGGCACAGAGGAGGAGGGGCAGGAGGGCAGTGCCGGGGAGATGGGAAGATTTGCATTGGAGGGTAACTGGGTGCATGTGGTGGTGAAAGGGGAGAAGGCGGAGCGATTGAGGTTGCAAGAGATAGTGCATGTGTGTGTGGTGAGCAGGGATGGGTTGAATGCGGTGAACAGTGAGAGTGTGGAATTCGGGATGGAGGATCAGGAGAGAGTGGGAACAGATGGTGTTAAGTGGGAAGGAGAGGGGGAGCAAGAGGAGGAGGAGGAGGAGGAGGAGGAGGAGGAGGAGGAGGAGGAGGAGGAGGAGGAGGAGGAGGAGGAGGAGGAGGAGGAGGAGGAGGTGGTGGGAGGGGAGGAGGAGGAAGGCACACTGGGGGGTTTACGAGAGGAGGGAGTGGGAGGGGTGGCAGAAGGTGAGGAAGGTGAGGAAGAGGAGGAGCAGTGGAAGCAGGAGCTGTGGAGTGAGTTGGATAGGATGGTGGCGGAAGTTCAGGATGTGGGTGCGGACCACATGGGTGGTGACCACGTGGGTGATGACCACGTGGGTGGTCTTGCAAGGGACATGCAAGCGCAAGCAAGTGGTATGGAAGAGACGGAGGGACACGTGGGGAGAGGTGAAGGCAGTGACAGGGAGAGAGCAGACGGCAAGGTGGGAGGTGTGGCATGGGGCCATGTGCATGGCATGGCAACAGGGGACTCACATGCGCTGGGTAACACGCATGAAACCCCTCATGTGGACACGCATGGGGGGTTGCAGGTAGGGTATGGGGGGCTCGTGGGGTATGAGGGGTTGAGGGCGGAGGGGGAGGGGGGCGGGGTGGGAGAGGAGGAGCAGTGTGAAGCAGAATGGCGCACAGAGCGAGTTCGAGAGGGTGGAAAGGAGCTGGCTAGGGGGTTAGTGAGTGTGGATGGGAGTGTGGGAGGTGAGGGTGGAAGCACGGCAGCTGCAGGCAGGGACACAGGGCCCTCTGCTCCCTGTGACTGGGGCGGAGATGACGGGGATGGTGATGGTGGGGGTGGTATACACGAGGCTATGGGCGAGGAGGTGTGTGGTGCGGGGCAGGTGTCTTGGAGGGGCGAGGAGGAGCAGGCGGGTGGCATGTGGGGGGATGGGAACCTGGGGCAGGGCTCTTGTGGAGCAGATGGGGGAGAGGAGGGTGGAGGGGGAGGAGAGAGGGGAGGAGGAGGGGATGATGGAGTTTGTGAGGGAGGAGATGGTGGGGATGGTGGGGATGAAGGGTGGTGGAGCCGAATGTTTCCTGATTCTCCCTTAGCACCCAATGAACAGCCTCACTCTCACCAGCAGCCACCCTGCCTCGAGCTGCACGACAGTGGAATGAATCTTGGCTCAATCCATCCTCCTTCACAGCTACCCCTTGATGCCCCTCATGCTCTCTCTCCCCCTGATCTTCCTGCCGTCCCTTCCCCTCATGCACAGGCAACCATGTCCCCTCCTATATCCTCTTCCTCTCCCATGCCTTCTTCCCCTTCCATACCGCCTCCCCATTCCGTAACCCTATTCGCTGCTGCACCCGCTGCTACTGCTGCAGCCGCCATGCCATCTCCCTCCCACGCCACCCCCAACGTTCCCCCATCTTCCGCCCAGACAACGCCTTTCATCATGCCCTCTCCCTCCCACACAGCCCTGCCTATTCCTCCATCTCCGTCCCCAGCGCCTTGCTCCCTCCTGCCTCACACCCCACACTCACATACTGCTGCGGCCCTCCCTCCGCCTCCTCCTCCTCCTCTTGTGCCCCATGCCCCGCCTGTGCCTGCTGTACTAAGTGCGGGTGGGACTGGTGGGGGCGGGACTGGTGGGGGTGGGACTGGTGGGGGTGGGACTGGTGTGTTAGGGACTCGGACAGACGGCCAAAGGGAGGAAGGCAAGGATGGAGAGGAGCAGGTGGTGTCTGGGACCAGGCCAAGCGCCCCTGCTGTGATTGGTGGGGGTGGGGCTGAGGCAGAGGGGCAAGGGAAGGAGGATTGGGGAGATGGGGGGTTGGGGGGGGATGCTGGAGAAGGGATGGGTGGAAGGGAGGGGTGGGGTGCAGGGGAGGTGGGTGGGAGGTGGGGCAAGCGGCAGAGGGTGGAGGTGGGTAATGCATCAGCAGCAAAGCTGAACACCCTAAGCTTGTGTGTGCATAGTAGTGATTGTATGGCAGGGCATGGCAGTGGTGGTATGATAGAGCAGGGTAACACGAGTGTGAGGGCAGGCAGGGGCGAGCTTATAGCAGGGACAAGGGGCAGCAACAGCTTGCACCATTCTAGCAGCAGTGATGGCAGTGGTAGCAGTGATAGCAGTGACAGCACCAGCAGCAGCAGTGTCAGCAGCAGTAGTGAAGAGACGAGTAGCACCAGTAGCGGTGACAGCAGCAGCAGCAGCATGAGTAGCATGAGTGGGGGAAGGCAAGCCACTGGAAATACTGCTGGTGAGAGGAGTCGGAGGAGGGAAGAGCAAGGGACGAATTCAGGAAGGATGGTGGCTGGGGAAGGGACCGCGGGAGGAGCAACAGAGAGAGGAGAGAGAGGGGAGGAAGTAGGAACCGATAATGGCGGGAAGAGGGAGGAGAGACCAGGAGGGAGAGGAGAATGTGAAGGAGCGAGAGGCACACCTGTTCTGCAGAGGATGGGGGGAGAGAGGGACGAAAGAGGTGGTGGTGATGTGAGGAGAGCACGTGAGGAGAAGGGAGGGAGGGGTGTGGAAGGGGAGAGGAGTTTTGAGGGTTCTCGAAACTCAGGAGGGGAAAGGAGTTGGAGTAAGGTGGAGGGAGGTAGGACTAGGGGCGCGAGAAGGGTTGGCAGCAGCGAAAGGGGAAGCGGTGAGCGGAGAGTGTGGAGAGGTAATGTGCCAGGTGGGGGCAGTAGGGAAAGGGCTCCTGGAAGCAGGTTGAGGGGAGGGGAGGGGCATAGGACGAGGGGAGGAGGGGGAGCGAATGCAGGACGTGAAGTCGGGTCACTTGGGAAGAGGGGGCGAGACGAGAGTGCGGGTGGGGGGAAACGAAGTGATTGGCGGGAGAGGCGTGGAGATGGGTGGGAGCGGAGTGGAGATGGGCGGCAAGAGAGGAGTGGAGATGGGCGGGAGAGGAGTGGAGATGGGCGGGAGAGGAGTGGTGATGGGTTATGGAAGGAGATTGCAAAGGAAGGAAAGGAGGAAAGAATACAGCCAGACATGGGGCAAGGCATGGGGTACGAGGGGAAGGGCACATTGCGTGTAAAGGGTGGTGAAGAAGCAAAAATGAGTGAGGATAATGTGGGGGCAAGTGGAGCAGAAAAGTTGGAGGTCAAGGGACACGTGGGTCACAAGGAAAGGGATGACAGGAACAGGGGAGCTAGAAGGGAAGACGACAGTGGAAGAGAGGTGAGAATGGACGCAGAAGGAAGGGGGTTGAGAAGGGACGATGAGAGAGCAAGGGGATTGAGAAGGGACCATGAGAGAGAAAGGGGAGTGAGAAGGGACGACGTAGGGAAGGGTGTTCAGGCTGAGGGGATGGCGGGGAAACAGCGGGAACGAGAAGGACAGGGTAGAGGTCGAGAAGAGAGGCAGAGGGATATCGATAGGAGAGCTGGTGGAAGGAAGGATAGATTTTGGAACAAGCGGAAGCACTCGAATGATTGGGACAGAGGCAGGGTGGTTGAGAGGAGGAGAGAGAGCAAAGATGGTGGGGCAAGAGAGAGGGACGGGCGGGGTCGAGGCATCATGAAGGAGGGGGAAAGTGGGCTGGGGAGAGATGGAATGCGTAAAGACAGGGAAGCTGGAAGAAACATGGTGAGGGATGATGAGAGGATGGGAGGAAGGGGAGATGGGAGGGTGAGGGAAAGGGAGGATGGCGAGGGATTGAAGAGAGGGAGCGAAGGGAGCAGGGAGAACAAGCAGTGGCATGGTAAGGATGGAAGGCGATCGGAGCGGGAGGGTGACTTGGCAAGAGAAAAAGGGATCACACTCAATAAGGGAAGAGAGGATGCAAGGCATGGATCGAACATCCAGCAGGGTGAGAGGAGCTGGATGCATGAAAAGAAGGGCTTTAATGCTCGTGATGGGGGTTTGAATGTGAGGGAGAAGGTGGGGGCGAACACAGGAGGAGGGACAGCAGGTGCGGTGGACCAGGAGAGTGTGAGGCGGCGTGGCGAGGGCGAGAGGAGTAACAGCTGTGGGAGTGGTGCGGAACGGAAGCTGACATTCCGACGGCAAGAAGGGGGGGTGCATGAAAGAAAGACCGACGAGAGCCAGCAGAGCAAGCAGGAAGGGCGTGTGCACGAGTCGAGAAGAGAGGAAGAGGGGAAGAAAGTGGGAGTGGGTGGGCAGGAGGGTGGTGGAGGTCGTAGAGGGGGTGTGGGGGAGGAGAGCAGCATGAAGCAGCATGGGTCTAGGAAGGATGAATACACCGTGCGGCATGACCAACCTCCAAAAACATTCAGAGCTGCCCGGAGATAGAGCATGCTGGGGAAAGTGGGGAGACGGGAAGGGGCACAAATTTCACTGTAATTATAGGTTTTTTTACAATATCGACTAGGCTAATTACGGAAGAATTATGTCTCATCACCTCACCTCAGCCAGCTCATCATACCCTACCTTAGTGATGCCTTCCCTCACAGAGGAAAAACACAGTGCAGCAAATTTATCTTTCGTATCCGAATAGAACCAGATATTGGCTTGGTGCTAATTCCTACCATCTCCCGTCGAGTTCCATATTCAGGAATTGAGCTGCATTAAATGCTTGAGCAAAGTATAAATTGGAATTATTTCATAGATACACAATAAGTTCAGTCCAGCGCTAAACACGCCGGAATACGGTTCTGCTTGAATAGAGGACCCGAGGCAACGAGGTTCGGTGTCGATAGCTTAGGGATCTGGCACAAGCTTCGAAATCGAAGCTTCGGGAATTGGGGTACTGCAGAGCGGCTTGCGCGCTTCACCAAAGCTGTTGAGTGACTGCCCCGAGTCTGTCGCCCCTCTGCCCGAGCTTCCACTTTTATCGAAACTAGCAGTGCAAAGACGAAAATATTGGTTTCGGTCAGACATCGGAAACATTTTTTGCATCCGCGAACCGCGGATGTGAATCACACGAATTGCACCATGAGTCGCTCAGGGCAGCGCAGAAGGCGGAACGATGCCCGGGGATAACAAAATTGGGCAGCCTTGGGTGCTTGGCTCGGGCAGGGCGGGTCCGCGACAATCTCGAGTCCCGAGCCACCCCAACCAAGGAACCCTCCCAAGCATAGTCAGGGCTTCCCAGTTTTCCCTCCAACCCCTCTCCGACTTTGCTTTCTGGGTACAAATCCGCAGCCAAGGAATACTAGCAGTATAGTTGTCCTTGTTTGCTCACCACAAGAAGCTCCAGCCTCGGGATCAGCTTCAGGCTTCTAACTCAACTCCTCGTTTTCACTGCAATGGCCTCTGATTACCCGTCGTATGTGGATGCTCTTAGCTTCTGGAAGAGTCTCGGTCGCGAGAAGCGGACTGAAACATTGCTTCAACCTCCGAGCTCCTCCAGCAACACGAGCAAAGTAAGCCAGGCATCGGAGACATTCGATCCGACCTTCTCAGATCCGACGACGCTAGATCGTTCTGCATCGGATCGGTTTGCGTCCGTAGTACTAGCGGTGGCGTCAGAACCGGCGGTAACGATAGAACCAGCGGCGTCGGAATCGCTGACGTCCGAACCAGCAACATCACTGCTGCTGACTGAATGTCCTCGAATGGCTGTAGCAGCTGGTTCGGTGAAGCCAGCGACACGCTCCGTACCAACCTCACAGCCGCTGCCATCTCGCATCGCTAAACCAAGCGGTCAAAGAATGATCATGAAAAGCCGCGCGGAGGGGACGACGCTGATCCCACGACCCGCACGAGCCGCTGCAGCTGAGAGGCAGATGCGAAGAAGGAGTTCCAACGGTACGAAGCAGCTCGAAGGCAGGAGTGATGCAATTTCGGCTGCAGCGAATAAGGTTCGTGCTGGATCGTCGTCCAAGGTGGTGCTCGCTGCGGGCTCACGGCGTCCATGGCGGCCGTAAGCCTTCCGAAAGCTCCAACCTCCAACGCGGCGCTGATCTACCAAGACTGCACCCGGGTCATATGAGAAAGGGGGCCTTCCCTGGGACACCTCCCAGTGGACCCCCGTGCGAGAGGGGGCCTGATTTCCTCTTAGGTAAACAAAATGACGAAAAAAACAAGAAAAAAAAAGTGGAAAAAAAAACGAAAAGAAAAGAAACGAAAAACAAATCATTTGATAAGCAGCAAAGGAGTATTCCAGCGGGATGAAGGTGGAGGGCACAGAAGCACCTCAAACAGATTACAGCAGTGGGGAGGTGGTTGGGAGGTTGGGAAGTGGGATGATGGTGGGTCCCTTTTTTGCACCCTATTTGCCAGGGTGTTCGGGAGAGTGGGTTGGGAAACTGGTGGGGGTTGGAAGGGTGAAAATATGCTGCCATTCCGCTGTGGCTTTGCTTTCAGTTCTATCCTCCAGGATAGCATCAAGTCAAGAACGCTCTTGAGGAGCATGGCTCTGGCCTGGAGTGCTCCCCACTGGATGGCTCTGGCATGGAGTGCTCCCCACAGGATGGCTCTGGCATGGAGTGCTCCCCACAGGATGGCTCTGGCCTGGAGCGCCCCCCAAGGGATGGCTCTGGCCTGGAGCGCTCCCCAAGGGATGGCTCTGGCCTGGAGCGCTCCCCAAGGGATGGCTCTGGCCTGGAGCGCTCCCCAAGGGATGGCTCTGGCCTGGAGCGCTCCCCAAGGGATGGCTCTGGCCTGGAGCGCTCTCCAAGGGATGGCTCTGGCCTGGAACGTTCCCCAAGGGATGGCTCTGGCCTGGAGCGCTCCCCAAGGGATGGCTCTGGCCTGGAGCGTTCCCCAAAGGATGGCTCTGGCCTGGAGTGCTCCCCAAGGGATGGCTCTGGCCTGGAGCGCTCTCCAAGGGATGGCTCTGGCCTGGAGCGCTCCCCAAGGGATGGCTCTGGCCTGGAGCGCTCCCCAAGGGATTTCTCTGGCCTGGAGCACTCCCCAAGGGATGGCTCTGGCCTGGAGCGCTCCCCAAGGGATGGCTCTGGCCTGGAGCGCTCTCCAAGGGATGGCTCTGGCCTGGAGCGCTCCCCAAGGGATGGCTCTGGCCTTGAGCGCTTTCCAAGGGATGGCTCTGGGCTGGAGCGCTCCCTAAGGGATGGCTCTGGCCTGGGGCGCTCCCCAAGGGATGGCTCTGGGCTGGGGCGTTCCCGAAGGGATGGCTCTGGCCTGGAGCGCTCCCCAAGGGATGGCTCTGGCATGGTGTGATGTGATTAGAAGCTGTAGCTCAAATTGTGTTAAGGATTATATGTCAATGGTTTATCATGTCAATGCTCATCCAGGAAAATGCTTCACTTGTACAACATTTGAAATGGGAAAGAAGACGCAAATGTACCCCACTCAGCAACTCAAGCCATACCTGAAGTGGCGAGAGGGGCCAGAGGAACAAGTTCCTTAGGGCTGCTTGTGTGTCCGGAGAGTCCTTGAGCAAAAAGAAAATACTACCACCTTTGGCAAACAATTCTAGTATTTCACATGCTGTCATTGTGTAGCGCTTCTGATCTGATTTCAAATGCTGTTGGATGATGCATGCCTATTTACAAGTTTGTGGACCAGTTTTCACCACTGTAGCTTCATTCCATAGTTGGCCAATATCACATGTCACCTCAGAAGAGCCTGCAACGCTGCCTTTGCTGTAACAGGCTTCATTTCTAAGGCGCCTCAAGAATCGTCTCAGTTGATATCATGACATGTCACCTTCGAAGGTCTTGCAACATTGCGTTCATCTGTGCTTCACAACCCCTCAGCAACAGCATTCTTGAACTCTGTGTGTATTCCTTTGAACAACGCTCTCAGGTCGCCTTCGCTTGCTGCTGCCTGCACTGCCTCTGCCAAGCCTGGAATGGACGGTTCACTGCTTATCACTGCGCAGATATTTCAGTTCAGTGGAAATAAGGGAGAAAAGGTGGATGCTGGTTGGAGTAGTGGATGAAATGATGAAATGGGGGTGAGGGATATGGAGAAGGCGGAGAGCGACAGGAACAATGATTTTTTTTTTGGCTCCCTCTAAACTTTATCTGTTATAAAGTTTATTACACCCTTTATTATCACTTCACGTACCTCGAAAGCTCTTGTCCCTGTCACCGCCCATATCTAGCAGGGCAATGAACTGCCTTTCGGGCATCAGGGGATCTATCTTTGTAAAGGTCAATCGAAGCAAGCCATCTGGAGACAAGCGTCATGGTACACAGAGAAGGAAAGACAGTAGCAGTTTAGCACGAACGAAATCATCGAGAGAACGTGTCAAGAGGGAGCGAGGGAGGTAGCGGGGGTGAATGTGCTAACATGTGTGTTGTGTGTATGGCGAGGGTGTAATGCTCCACAGAACGAAAGATAATGGAATGGCTTCGGGAAGATGGCGGGGTACAAGCAGAATCAGTGAAAGAAAGAGCGAGGGAGGTAGTGGTGATGAATGTGGAAATGCGTTTGTGTTGTGTGTGTAGTGAGAGTGTACCTGCTCCACGGAGAAAAATAAAATGGGATCATATTTGTCAGAAGAGGGAGGCACGAGAGGAAACATCAAGAGAAAGGGAACGAGGAAAGTAGTGAGGGTGGAGAGGTTTTGTAGAATGCCAAGCAGAGAATGCACCAGGCTTGAGAAATGAAGGCGCGAGGAGAACGCACCAGGACTGGGGTCAAAGCGAAGGCCAAATGCTTCTCTGAACTTTATCACGACTGACAGCAGGGCATCGATGCGCTGTTGCCGAACCTCCTCTGCGTTCTCGAGTGCTGTGCATCAGAAACAAACAATCAAAGCGTTGGTGGGTGGTGATTGATACACAACTGTTGCGTCCGAGCGAAAAAATCACCCGCTGTTCCATCACTCCCTCACCTTCATCCTCTGCCTGCACGTCCGCCTCCAATTCTGCAACAAAATCTTTCGCCTTCTCCAGCTGGGGCGCCAGCATTGCTTTGTCCAGACCCAGCCTTGCCATCTCTTCACACTGCCGGTCCAGGTCATCCTGCTGCTCCTCTTGCTCTGGGGTGAGCAGGGGGAATGGAAAGGAGCACAAGGTGAGAGAGGGGGCAAGGCAAACAAGTTCAGATATGACGTGTGGACACAAAGAAAAGCAACTTGGAATGGAAGTGACACCTACCAGAGGCAGGTGCAATGGCAGTGACGGCTTGCAACAAGTGCTCTATATGGCACGAATAGCTTCTGGGCATGCTCTCCCAGCCATTCGCGAAAAAGCAACATGGGATGCTTACGTTTCAAAATCCTCTGCTCCTCAGCCAAAAAATCCTGCTCCAGTTGCCTCAATTCGTTTAGCTTATCTGCGTTCAAAGGCGACGATTATGGCATACTGTATAAGAATCGTGGACGTGGTCACCACATACCCTATGCTACAGATTTGGAAAAACCTCGAAAAGTGCGAGCCGACTTGGAGATGTGGACATTTCAACAACCAGATGCATCACCTTGCGTCGTACGCACTGTCGCCGAATCGCGCCGCGCGGCGTCGTGCTGCTTCGCGATCTGTTTATCGGCCAAAGCGCCCAGATCTTTCCTAAACTCGCGAAGGTCCCTGTCGAGCTGATCGACCTGTGCGTCACCAAGTATGTTAATCTTATCCTTTCCAGACGACGCCATCGAAGAAAAGATCGCGTTGCAATGCTATTTGATTATTGAAGTCTGGATCTGTGTTATGCGACCTGCTTGCAACAAGAAACACGGTGCAGCAGACTATGCGCTTCCTTTGTCAACGAAATGGAGTCACAGATCACTCCGACAATGAAGTACATACTGCACGCGGTGCGAGCTAACGGTTCGCTGTGCGTGGTGCATGCAGAGGAAAACCAAGATTGATTGTCGTGGGCACAATCTAGGGTGTGATGGTGGAGTGGGGGTGATAATCGCGATGCACTGGAGATTCAAATTCAAGCGACAACCTCGCACGGTAACTTTCTCCGACGAGTTTCGCGACAAACCCAACGCAACTCACCCCACCCACCCTTCAGCTGAACAAACCGCTCTGTTGCACTGCGCTCTCCCTCCAAAATCCAAACATGTTCCGCGTCAGTGCTGACATCCCGCGCCACACATCCTTCAGCCCTCTCGGCTTGCTTGAAACGGTAGATTCTTGAAAGCTTGATTGCTGCACCTGCTATTCTGCTTCGAATGCATAACACAACCTTTAGTGTCCAGCTTTACAGCTTTGTAATCTTGGTTACATCCCCACTCTTGCGTTCCTGACATTCGTCGCCATGGATGCATCTGGGTTCAACATGACCCTAGGAAATGATACGGATGCCAGCGTATTAACGCCAAGTGCAAACGACACGGACGTTAGCATTTTCACAACGGGAATGGTTCCGTGCGGTCAAATCCCCGTTCCGATGGCTCCCAAAGGCGCATCTTACATAGCTAGCGTCTCATTGCTGGTTCAGCTGGTTATGCTAGCGATCGCTCTTTTGGTGGGCCACGGTCTTAGACGGAAGAAGATAGTTATAATCCCTGAAGCTGGCGCGGCGTTAGCCTTTGGTATGCCGATTTAAGTGATTTTGCTCTCGTTTATATTCTTCCTAAACGCGCTATTTTCTCCAGGTGTGCTAGTAGGGCTGGTTGTGAAGTTCCTTCGCCATGGTTCGGAGTTCAGGTAAGTCCGCGTTCATAACTCTTTACATTCAGCCGTGCAAACTCCGACATACTTTGTTTTCGCAGGGAATGGATCAACTTCAACAATAACTTCTTCTTCTATTTCCTGCTGCCGCCGATAATATTATATCCTTTCACGTCGTCTGTGTCCCTCCTTTTGTTTAAATCTCCGCCATTACGCCTTGGTTTCTTGCTCTCTTCGCCTTGCCTTGTAGACTACGCACGCATGTCCTTCCTCGTCCGCACTTACGCTCCAAGCTTGGAGTCTCTTATTGCTTCATGCGTGCCCACTCTCTTCGCAATTGTGTTTGCGCGAAATTCTTTTTTCCTTAACCGTTTTGATCATTTTGACATTTCCACTGAGTCGGGATGGAGCTTGAAGACGGTAAGTGCTGGGCGTAGCTAGCTCGTTACTACTGGCTGTCAGTCGCTAACACCCAATCGCTGTTTCAGAAACCATTTTTTAACAACTTTGGAGCGATCTGTACATTCGCATTTGCTGGGACGCTCATATCGACCTTGGTGGTGGGATGCTTCATGTGAGCCCGTTGATTGCTCAGCATGATCTGTGCTTGCAATATTTTTCTCGTTTTTGGATCCAATTTGAATAATCACAACTCTTCAATAACGGATTGAGGTCTCGTTGATATTCCTTTCAGGTATTTTGTTGGACTATTGCATGCTGCTCACGCGATGCCTATTATGGTGTGCCTTGCCTTTGGAGCTTTAATATCAGCAACTGATCCAGTATCGGTTCTTGCAGTTTTCCAGGTACACCTTTACTCGATGCTGTGACCCTCTTACTGTAGGGACACATCTGATGAGTGTTGTTGTGCGTTTGCAGGAATTGGGTGTAGACCGCACCCTTTACGCCCAAGTATTTGGAGAATCTGTGCTCAATGATGCAGTAAGATGCTTTAGAAGTGAAGTGGATTAGGCGAATTATCGTATCATATGCTAATCCATGAATTTGTTGTACTTGTAGGTCGCGATAGTGCTCTACAGGACCATGTTGTCATTTGTGACAACCAAGGTTGATGGCAGAGGAGTATGGTTTGCTATTTCGTTTTTCTTAGCCAATTTCATTGGTTCTTTCTCAATAGGTAAGAGTATACCCGTTATGTCTTTATGCTGCCGTTTTTTGTTATCGGGTGCTGAAGTACCTTTGCAGGAGTGATTATGGGCTTGTTGAGTGCCCTTGTCTTCAAGCATTGCGGTTTTGAAGATGATGGGTAAGATTGGTACACAACTTTGTTAATGCCAATTCGTCTTGGTGCAGTCTGTTGACCCGGTGGTCCTACTTTGTGCAGTCTCGCTTTGCTGCAAGCCTGCCTGCTTTCACTATTCCCCTATATGGCGTACATGCTGGCTGATGCCTTTGAATTATCTGGTATCGTGGCCATCCTTTTCGCGGGAATGGTGAGGTGATGCGTTTGCAAATTTTCGTAATGGAAAGTTCACTGATTGATTCAATATTTCAGACGATGAGATACTACACAGCTCCGCATCTGAATGAGAAGGCGCTGGCTACAACAAGTAGCTTCTTCTCCATCCTTGCAAAGTTATCCGAAACTTTCGTGTATGGTTATATCCATTTTCCACTGTTTCGGTTGAGTTAGCAAGCACTTGAGTACACCTATGTATGCAGCTTTATATACATGGGAGTCGCGGTCTTCTTGGAGAAACAAAGTTGGAGAAGCTACAGATTTACTCTGTTTACTATCGTAAGGCACTGTGATTTTGTTTCGTCTGCTTCTGCTTCTCGCTCTTTCTCTGACCTGACATTTGATTGTCTTGCAGCTTGCTATTCTTATTGCAAGGTATTAAATTATTTCCTTCTGCTTCATTTGGTTCAAAAATACGCCTTGCTAATGAGGTCATTCTTCTTCAGGGTGTTCAACATATATCCTCTCGCATACATTGTCAATGCTTTTCGCCAGAAGCAAAGCAGAATTCCAATGAATCATCAGCATGCGTTGTGGTTCAGCGGTACGTTGTTGTTGATCTAGCTGTACCGCGTGTTCGAACTTTTCCATCATAAAGTTGACATCTGTCCACTATACCCCAACCCCTTGCTCCAGGGCTTCGTGGAGCCATGGCCTTTGCCCTCGCACTACAGTCTATTACTGATCTTCCTGATGAATATGGCCGTGTTATTTTGACGTCAACATTGTTAACGATCGCTTTCACTGTGAGTGAAACTTTTGAAACTTGAAACGTCACAATTGCAATCCAGCTCATTGTTTTCAGGGCAAAATACTGTATGCTGGCTCCATTCAGCCCACCTTCATCTGGTTATTACAATGGCATATGATGCACAGGTGTTGTTTATTGGTGGTGCAACATCCCACATGCTTTCATGGCTAAAGATCGAATGCAGCGGGGTCCGAAGTGAACACGATGATCAGGTAACCTGCTCTTTGCACCCAATAACATGTGTCTCTGAGTGTGTGGAGGAAAGTAGGGGGGAAATGAGGGGATGCGTGCATGTGTGTGGGTTTGTGTGCGATCTTGACATGTACGGATTTTTGCATTGCAGGATATGCAGACGGAGGAGATAATGGTAGCTCAACCACCTGAAAAACCTCAAAGCAATTTGAAGAAGAAGTTTCAGCAGCTGAAAGAGAAGTAAGACTAATGTTTTTTTAGAGACTTCAGTAAAACGATTTTCCTGATAAACTTCTGCTGCAGGGCTAGCTTTGCTTCAATCGACAAGAACTTTTTGACTCCAGTTTTTGCAACACCATCCCGTTCACATCCGCGTCTTGTGGAGCTCGATCCAAACGTTACGCCTCCGCAAGCACACCGTCCAAGTTCTTCTTCAGTTGATGGTGAGTTCTCTACTTGTGGTAACTGCTCAACCTTAGTATGTTGCTATATATCACACTACCGTGTTCGCGCCTTTGCCGGATGCTGAACAACACACAGTGCCTATCTTGCATGCTGAGAAAATTGTGTCGTGTGACATTCGTTGTGCTTGCTCTTTTATACTTCTGATTTGTTCCATCTTGTTGGTTGGCTGCAGGAACAGAAAGAAGAGCAGTAGAAATTGAGCTTGCTCCAGTGGATGAATTGTTTCCAGTCGATGATGATAGTATGACCATTCCCCTGACAACTGCACTTTCACTGCCCCTAGAAGGAGGGCACCTCAGTCGGCGTGCCAGTGCCAATAGCCAGCAGGGAGGATGAGGATGATCCTTGCAGGACATGCCACTGAAGATTCATGTGGATGATTCAGTGTAAATTCATTGCCAAGCTCCTGTGTGGGTTGTATGTCAGTAAAGCTGTTCAATTTGTCTTGCTTTCCAGCCTCTATGCCAAGAAGAAGCTCTTTCAGTCCTGCACACCACCTTATAGCCTACTACGGTACTGTTTAATTCACATGGACCCTAATATGGTACTGCTGCAAGGAACCAGACTTGGTGGTGTATAGCAGATGTGGCAACAAGGGCTTGCAGATGCAGGGTAAGTTATGATCCAAGTGCACAGGTCATCAGTTTCACACATCGCCAGCCTTGACAACCACAGTGTAGTTGCGGCGAGGATCAAAGTAGCGGCGGTAGATGAAGAAGCCACCACCAAGCAGCAGAGCAGCGAGGGCTGTGATGGCAATGAAGGCCAGCCAGCCCGTCAACACTAGTGGAGAGCCCTCTGCCTGCTCCTCCGCCTCAGCCTGAGCCACCAGCTGGATCTGAAGGTTGGAAAGAAGGTGGGCAGAGAGAAAGACAACACACACAATCAAATTAGAGGGAAAAAGATTGGGAGAGAATAAGAGGAGGACATGGAATTGTACCGTACAAGAAAAGCAATAAGGAGAATATGAGCACTTTCACTGCAGATCCAACCACAACCCACCTCTGCGATTTTAGTAAGCGTGTCCTCCAGCTGATTCTCATTCACCAGCCCTCCCACGTGCCCGCCACTGCCCGCCACCACGCCCACCATCTGCCGGCACTGCTTATCCGAGATCTTAGTGAGAGGCGTGTCCACGAGGCACTGCCCAAACACCCCCACCACGGCGCCCTTGTGCTCGCTGAACCCCGCCACGTTGGTGCTGTTGCAGAGGGTGTCAATGTCAGTGTGGCATGGCTTGGTGAGGGGCGCGTTGCTGTGGTACATCCACAGGGCGTTGCGCACCACATAGGTCACCTGGGAGTGGGTGGGGATTGGGGAGAGGGAGAAATGAGAACAGAGGATAACAGTGTGGCATGGTTTGGTGAGACCAGCACTGCTGCAGTACATCAGGATTCCATACGACATACATCACGTGGTTTTGTTTGGAGTGGTAGGTGGGGAATACAAGCCAGTCATGGTAAAAACGAAAGCTCAACCACATGTGCCAGCTGCAAGCCTGCCTTTTCTCATCTCAGACTGGCAGGCCGGCTTGAGGGTCTGATACGGCTCCAGCAGACAGCGCAGGATGGGCCCATAGCCGCCCTCAGTCTCCTTCTCTCCCATTGACTGCTCCGCAACCTCATCCCCGAAGCACCTCAAAAGCCTGCAGCATCACCGTTGTGTCTCTTCTCACCTCGGACTGGCAGGCAGGCTTGAGGGTCTGGTACGACTGCAGCAGACAGCGCAGGATAGGCCCGTAGTCGCCCTCTGCCTCCTGGTCCCCCATTGACATCTCCGCCGCCTCGTCCACCTCGCTGCACTTCTCCTCCACGTCAGCATTGCACTGCAGCTGCAGCGCGATGTCGGTGCGGTAGTACTGGGACTGGCGCATGGTCTGCAGGTCCACCTCAGCACGGCAGGCTACACTCATGCCGGACTGACAATAAGGGAGGAGGGAGAGAGGGAAGGGTGGAAAGGGATGGGGGATGAGGAAAGCAATGCGCGATGGCGGTGCGGTGCTACTGCGACTGGCGCATGGTCCGGAGATCCACCTCAGCACGGCACGCCACACTCATGCCGGACTGGAGAAGCTTGAAGAGGATGTGAATGGGAGGCAGGGGAAGGAGAAAGCAGTGAGCACATGTCTGTGTTGCACTGCAGTGCAGCTGCAAGGCAATGTCGGTGCAGTAGTACAGCAATTGGTGCGCGCAACTCGGGGTCGCACCGCAGCACCAGAGCAATGTCGGTGCGGTAGCACTGGGATTGGCGCATGGCCTGCAGGTTGATCCCGGCACGGCATGCCACGCTCATGCCAGGCTGACGATAAACGAGAGGAGCAGGCACCGGAAGGCATGGCCACCCATGGAAAGGATGCACTAAAGACTGGTGGAATGTGCTGAACACTACAATACGTGTGAGGAAGCTTTACCTCCTGGATGTGCCACTGCAGGCAGCGGAAGGCATGGCCGCCCATGGGCGGCACTCCGCGGCAGAACTGGTGCAGCTCCAATCCACACGCGTTCATCAGCGTGGGGGTCAGACGGATGTCTGATGCCTGGTGGTGGGCGAGCAAGGGGGAAAGGGGAGGAAAGGGAAGAGAAAGAGAGGAGAGAGCGAGAGACAAGGCTAAGGCACATGGATGGCAGAACTGGTGCAGCTCTAGGGCACACGCGTTCATGAGCGTGGGGGTTAGACGGATGTCGGACGCCTGGTGGTGGCGAGAGGGGAATGGGGGGGTCGAGAGGTGAAAGGAAGAGAGGAGGAGAGCCATGGCTATGGCACATGGCAGAACAAGTGCAGCTCCAAGCCAATTGCGTGCTTTCACAAATGTGGGATCGAGGAAGATGGGTGAGTGGTGGGGAGCAGTGGGGGGGATGAGTGGCCAAGCCAAGCCAAGCCAAGCCAAGCCAAGCCAACATATGCTGTTTTGGTACGGTCGCTAATGTGGTTGTGGTCCCTCCTCGCATACCCTGCCCCCGCATTCCATTGCACACGCGCAGCATCGCACTGAACTGCTTTGCACCCACCTCCATGGCAGTGAACCGCAGCTCCTCCGCCTTGCACTTGGCTGACAGCTTCTTCCTGTTCTGCCGCAGGCAGGAGAGCGTGCGGCTGTGGTCCCTCCCCGCATACCCTGCCCCCACATATTCTATCTCATACGCACAGAACCGCACTGCACCGCACTGCACCCACCTCCATGGCGGTGAACCGCAGCTCCTCCGCCTTGCACTTGGCGGACAGCTTCTTCCTGTTCTGCCGCAGGCAGGAGAGCGTGCGGCTGTGGTCCCTCCCCGCATACCCCGCCCCCGCGCCACAGTACATGTCCGCGTCGTCCTTGCACGCCTGCTGCAAGGGCACGTCCAGGGCCGGATCCTCCACGGTCCTGCGATTACAGAGAGATGCAACGTGAGAGGCAATATGAGAAAGAGCAGGGAGGCGAGAAGCAGTGGTGGCAGGCATAAGAGCCACAGTACATGTCCGCATCGTCCTTGCACGCCTGCTGCATCGGCACGTCCAGGGCCGGGTCCTCCACGGTCCTGCGATTGGTGAAGGGGGTGAGAGAAGGGAGCAAGTACAATTGTACAGTAGGTGGAAGTGGCAGTGGGGGCACACACCACAGTACATGTCCGCATCGTCCTTGCACGCCTGCTGCAGAGGCACGTCCAGGGCTGGGTCCTCCACGGTCCTGCGGGGAAAGGAGCAAGTACAATAGAATTGCACAATAGGTAGCCATGCCAGTGGGGGAACGGGCCACGGTACATGTCCGCATCGTCCTTGCACGCCTGCAAGACACCCACCCAGAGCTCTCCACCCGCGATCACTGCTCAGTCAAGCACTTGAGCACAATAAAGGCACACCACCATTCCTAGCACCATACCATACCTGCGCTCAAAGTAAAACACCTCCTCGCGGCACTCAGCGTTCTGCAGCTGAGACACCTTCTCCGACAGGCACTTGAGCACCGCCCCTCCGCACGCCTGCCCTGCGGCCGCTGCTGCAGCAGCCATGGCGCCCTCGACGCCCGGAGGGGCGCAGGCGTTTATGCAGAGGTGCTGCACGTCCTCGAAGCATGCGTGGTTCAAACGGAAGTTGAGGCGGAAATCTGATAGGGGGAGAGGGGAAGATTGGGTTTGAGAGAAAAAGAGGGGTGGTGAGGGGTGCCGAGTGGTGCACTGCACACGCGCTCATGCAGTGGTGCTGCACGTCCTCAAAGCACGCGTGGTTCAGGAGGAAATCTGGAAGGGGAGTGGAGATGAGAAAGATGATTCAGACACAGAGGGGGTGGTGAGGAGTGCAGGGTGGTGCACAGGCTGCATGCAGAGGTGCTGCGCAGACTCGAAGCAGGTGCATGTCAAACGGACGGGACGAAGAGCATGCTGCAAAGTGTACTGTTCCTGCTGCAATGCTCTTGAGAATGCTGTACATGCTGCAATGGGGAGGAGTCGATCAACTCACCCTGTGCGCTGCGCTGCTCGTCCCTCTTGACCTCGTCGGCACATGCCTTGCCCATGTCCGCATCTGCCACATGGTCCTGCAGACACTTCACCATGTCGGGTGCTGTGTGAGCAGCGGGACAGAGAGACATACACACACAGACAGACATACAAAAAGCGGAGCACACAGATTCATAAATTAAGAATCAGTGCCGGCGTGACCTTGCCTGTGTATGCGTCGGCCAAATGGCCCTGCAGACACTTCACCAGGGGGCTTGCTGTGTGAACAGAGGGACACACAGACAGTGACACACATGGATGGATGCACCATGCCCACTCACTTACACTCACTCACTCACTCACTCACATCCACACTCACTCACTCACACTCACACCCACAGTCACTCACTCACTCACACCCACTCACTCACTCACACTCACACCTACACTCACAGTCACACACCCACACCCACACTCACACACACACCTACACTCACATTCACACTCACACCCACACTCACACTCATTCCATGCGCCTTCTCCTCACCTTTGGAGCACAGGCGCTTCATCTCGTCGGCACACGCCTGGCGCATGGCAAACTTGAAGTCTATGTCTCCCGCGTAGCGGATCTCCTGCAGAGATGGGGATGAGGTGGGTGGGAGGAGGGGAGTGAGGTACGAGGGAAGGGTTGAGAGAAGGAGGGTGGTTGAAAGAGGGAGGAGGGTGAAAGAGGGAGGGGGGTTGAAAGAGGGAGGGGGGTTGAAAGAGGGAGCGGGGTTGAAAGAGGGAAGGGGATTGAAAAAACGAGGGAATTTGAAACAACGAGGCGGGTTAAAAGAGGCAGAAGGGTGTAAGAAGGGGGAAGGTGATTTGAACTTAAAGCGCAGCACCCACCTGGTCAAATAGAGCGGCGCGGCACACAGGGCGAAGGCCCTTGCGGTGGTCCTGCAGACACGTGAACACCCTGAATTCACTCCCTATACCCACCTCTCAACGCGCCGCATCCACCCACCTGGTCAAAGAGCGCAGCGCGGCACACTGGGCGCAGGTCCTTGCGGTGGTCCTGCAGGCATGTGAACACCCGTGCATGCACCATCTAAACCCACCTGCCACCAGGTCTCAAAGAGCAGCTGCAGCACCCACCTGGTCAAAGAGGGCAGCGCGGCACACGGGGCGCAGGTCCTTGCGGTGGTCCTGCAGGCACGTGAACACCCGTGCGTGGCCGCTCGGCACGTCCTTACACAGCTTCTCCTGGTCGGCTGGTAGAGAAGAGGGAGAATGCAGGAGAGCAGCGAGAGCAGAGAGAAGGGAAGCATGGGAAGCAGAGCAGTGAATTCTCGTGCGTGGCTGCTAGTGACGTCCCTGCACAGCTTCTCCTGGTCGGCTGGTACAATGGGGAGAGGGAAGAGGGAGGAAACGGGGGAGACGAGAGAGCGTGCATTGGGAGCATGTGGCATGAGAGGAAAGAGGAGAGGGGGGAAAGGCGAGATTTGCATGGATCAGTTCCCATGTGAGTAGGTAAGCGATTTCATACTAGAAACACATGGTCCTGGGTACAGGCGCGTTTCGAGACAGCTAAAAACACAAGAGAGGATGCTGGGATGAGGTGGTTCTGAATGGAAGGGCTCACGCTGGCAGGCGTCATGCAGAGGGTGGTCGAATCGAATGTCCTCTGCTGCCCTCTTGGTCAGGCGGTGCACCTGATTGGGGGTAGTGGAGAGGGGGGGGGGGGATGGGGAACGGTGAGAGTGGGAGGAAAGGGGGCGGGTTTAAGGCAGCTTCAGAAGCCGTGCAGAGGGTGGTCGAAGCGAATGTCCTCCGCAGCCTTCTTGGTGAGGCGGTGCACCTGATGGGGGAGACAAGACAAGGGGGATGGGGGGACGCAAAGCGAGGGTGTGTGGGGAGAGAACAACAAAGAGGAAGACAAGATGCAGAAATGAGGAGACAGCGATGTAGGTGTGGTGCGAACTTGTGTGTATGGCCGTCTGTGCATGTGTGCATGTGTACGTGAGTGTTTGTGTGCGTGGATATGCACCGGGGTTGGGAGCATGTGTGCAGTGCGTGCACTGGCATCGCGAATCCTTGTGCTCCTCCTTGAAGTCCTGCAAGCACTCCATCACCTTGCTGTCTCTGCTGCTACCACCTGGGACCACCTTCCTGTCCCTATTGCTCACTGCTCTGGACCCCCTCGCCCCAACCCAAGCGCACCTGCTGGCGGCAGCGCGGGTCTTTCAGTTCGTCCTTGTAGTCCTGCAGGCACCCCATCACCTTGCTTGCTCTGCTGCTACCAGTGGCACCTGGGACCACCTTCCTGTCTCTATTGCTCACTGCTCTCGACCCCCTCTTTCATCAGTGCACCTGCTGGCGGCAGCGCGGGTCTTTGAGCTCCTCCTTGTAGTCCTGCAGGCACTCCATCACCTTGCTGTCCCAGTTCGCCACGTCACTGATGTCCTCCGCGTCCGGGTAGCACGTCTGGGAAGAGAGCGCAACACGAGCATGAACAAAAAAGGCAGGCTATATGAGGGAGGGAGAGAGTCAAAGGGAGAGAAAAGAAGTTGAGCATGTGACTAATGCCCTCCGCGTGTGGTGTGGGTAACAGGTCTGGGAAGAGAGAGCAGCAAGAGGACAGTCAGAGAGAGGCACAGCGGGAAAGACAGAGGGATCGGTTCGCCACGTCACTGATGGCCTCCGTGCCGGAAGCACGTCTGGTGCAGGCACAAGGGAGGGATAGCGAGTGGGGCACAGCGAGCAGTTATTTTTACCACAATTAAAACCACTTCTCTCACTCACCTCCACGATGTCCTTGTGGCAGTACTTGCGCAGACTGGCATTGAGGCGGAAGTCCACCGCCCTGCTGTGTGTGATGTGATGTGTGCCATGCAGCGTGTACTGCACATGCACCTCGCTATAGTCACATCCACTACTCTCACCTCCACAATATCCTTGTGGCAGTACCTGCGCAGGCTGGCATCGAGGCGGAAGTCAACCACCCTACGCTGCATGCATGATGTGACGTGCACCGTACACCATGCCCCATACACCATGGGCCATACACCATGGGCCATACACCATGGGCCATACACCATGGGCCATACACCATGGGCCATACACCATGGGCCATACACCATGGGCCATACATCATGGGCCCTACACCATGGGCCATACACCATGGGCCATACACCATGCGCCATACACCATGGGCCATACACCATGGTCCATACACCATGCGCCATACACCATGCGCCATACACCATGCGCCCCTGTCTCACCTCCACAATGTCCTTGTGGCAGTACTTGCGCAGGCTGGCATCGAGGCGGAAGTCCACCGCCCTGCGCTCCATCATCTTGTCAAACTCCGCCTTGCTGCATGTGTGTCATGTCACATGCAACATGCACCATGCACCATGCATGCACCACACACCATTCCATGCATGTATACCGCGTAGACAACACGTCACAATGCATGCCATGCACACCATGCATCACATAGAAACCATGCGTGGCATGATGCGTGCACACGATGTCAGCATGTCATCATGCATAGCACACCACGTCAGACTCATGCATTCATACGGAGCACATAGCAGCAGACACACAGGGTCAAATGTGCATGTGTAACAACATGCTACCAGGTCAGGCATTCATACATACAGAGCACATGGCAGCAGGCACACAGGGTCAAATGTGCATGGGTCAAGGCATGCTACCAGATCATGGAGCGATCAGGATCGATTCGGTGCTCCTCCAGGGAGTCCTTTACCCTCTCATCCCCCCCTCTCTGCCCCACCCATAACCCTCCCCTTGTCCCCAGCCCTACCCCAGCCCATTACTCGCCCTCACCAGGTCTTGGAGAACTCGGGTTGGGTTCGGAGCGGTGCTCCTCCAGACAGTCCGTCACCCTCAAACATCCCCCCCCTCTATCGACCCCTATTCCCTGCCACCTGCGACCCACACTTCATCCATCACTCACCAGGTCTTGGAGAACTCGGGCTCGGAGCGGTGCTCCTCCAGGCAGTCCTTCACGCGTGCATCCCCGGGCAGCACATCAGGACAGAAGCGCCGCTTGTCGTCCAGACAGGCTGGTAGCGCGCAGGGCATGCGAGGGCGGGCGATGGCAGTTCAGGTGAGGGGAGAGAGAGATGGCAGAGAGACAGAGACACAGCCGACAAGGCATGAAGAGACACATAAGTGCCTTTATATGAATGCAACACATATTGCCATGCGAAGCACAGGCACATACATACATGCTGCATGTCATGTATGCGATGCGCATATGAGACCGTTTTGCACATCTCACCATGTAATATCACTTTCCCACCTTATGTATGGCCGTATGCTGAGTTGAATGCCATCTGCATTCTCCTCTTCCTGTTGGCTTTCCCGGGCCAGCATGCTATACTTCGTGAATCCTTATTGCCCTGATCTACTTATAATCCGTTCTTTAAAACCCTAATAGCCTGCTTTGTCTCTACAACCCTCCCTCCCACCTCAGAGCAGGCGCACGTTGAGGCAGATGTTATCGGCGTTCTCCACCTCCTGTCGGAATGCTTAAGGCAGCACACTGTATCCTTCGTCCCTACTTCCCATATCCCCTGTTTCCTTATGTCCGCGTCACCCATGTACCCCACCTCGGAAGAGGCGCACGTTGAGGCGGATGTCATCGGCGTTCTCCACCTCCTGCCGGAACAGCTCCGCCTGGCACTCCCAGTTCAGCTTCTTGCGGTTGCGCCGCTGCAAAGAGGGGAGGGGGGGCGCGGAACAGAGCATAGATTGGTGGGGAGCAGAGGTGGGCAGGAGAGGCTCTGTCAAGGCGCCTTGCTTCCGAGCAGCTGCTTGGAGAACAGCAGGTTGAGCTGCCAGTCTAGCGGAAATGATGTGCTGCCTCTCTTACGGACCCAAAAAGCACTCTCCATTCATCCTCCTACCACTCACCAGGCCCTCTCCACTCATGTTGAGCTGTTGAGGTCCCCACAGTAGGTGTAGCGTCCTTGAAGCACAGCATGTTGAGCTGCAGGTCCATGCGGAAATTGATTGCTCCTTCTCTTACAGACCCACCAAGAGCTCTCCATTTATCCCTCACCAGGCACTCCTGAATGCGCCCCTCGCCCGACTGCACGTCCCCACAGTAGGTGTCCGCGTCCTTGGAGCACAGCATGTTCAGCTGCGTGCCGGTCCATGCACGACCCAACCCAACAAGCACTCTCCATTCATCCTCCTACCAGACACCAGGCACTCTCCATTCCCTGCTACTCACCAGGCACTCCTGAATGCGCCCCTCGCCTGACTGCACGTCCCCACAGTAGGTATCCGCGTCCTTGGAGCACAGCATGTTCAGCTGCGGATCCATGCGGAAATCGTCTGCTGCATCCTCCTGCGCCTCGAACACCATTATGGCGCACTGGTCTGATACACGCCCTGATTCCTTGCTCTCCCTGACGTGGCAGCGAGTGAAACGGGGGTGATGGGATGGAAGAGTTTGAGTTGAATGGGGTCGAAGCCGTCTGCTGCGTCCTCCTGCACCTCGAACACCATTATAGCGCACTGGTCCGGCACCCGTCCCGACTCCTTGCTCTCACTGCCGAGGCAGATAGAGAATAACAAGTGTCGTGAATCCCCTCTGCTGTCCCTTCCTTCTCACTCTCCCTTGCATCCCTGCCTGACTTCCTCACTCCCTCTCCCTCCACCTCTCATCCAGGTGACCGGCTCATCCCTTCTTCCTCCTGGCGTATGTAATCACTCTGTTCTGATCCCCTCCTCGTATCTCAGGCTTCCCAAGCCAGCAATGCCTTCTCAGGGTCCTCACTAATCTCAGTCTTCTCCAACTGTCCCTTCAGCTTCGCCACCTCTCTCTCTAACTGTAACTCCCTTGCCGATTTTCCTCGCATTCTCTCTCCCTTGCTGTAGCACCTGTCTTCAGTATGCCCCCTTTTCCCACACCCGGTGCAGATAGGTGCCTTGGGGCAGTCACGTCTGAAATGTCCTTTCATCTTGCATGTGTCGCACACTATGTCTATGGCGCAGTCCTTCCGCACGTGCCCCTTTTCGCCGCACTTGTAACACCTGCGTCTATCTTCAGACGGCCTCTCTCTTCGTTCCTCTTCCCCCTGTCTCCCTTCCACCGCTGCCCAAGCAGGCCTCCGACGTTCGCTCGGCCGACTGGAGCTTGACCCCCTCATTCCTTCGAAAAACCTCTTTCCATCCTCCACTTCTTTCGCCACCTGGTACACCTGTCGCAGCTTCGCCCGTACCCCCAAGGAGTATAGTCGGCTTCTCATGTCTCGTATCAAGTCCCCATCCAGTCCGTTGACGAACTTGGTCACTAGGATGCGCTCCTCCACGCAGCCCATATCCTCTGCCAGCTCCAGTAAACGGTTATAGTAGGCCAACATCGACTCTGCCGGCGCTCTTCTGAAGTCTTGAAACTCCGCCATCCGGTCAGCCGAATGCCCCGGGAACTGCTCCTGCAGGCTTTCCAAGAAACGGTCCGTAATATCTGCCGGTAAGATATCTCCTCTGTTGCTCCGCATCAGCAGCCCCTGCCTCTCCACGCGGTAATGAGTCAACGCCTCTCCTTTGAGAGTCCTCCCCAAGCCTCTGAAAAATTCAATAGGATCCAGTCGCTCCCTATCCCAGCAGTAGCGAATGTCTTCAATCATCATCAGGTAGTTTTTCAGCGTGGGCTCCTCTCCGGGTGCCCCCGAGAAGCGGTCTGGTACCTCAATTTTGGGTGGTGTAGTACTCATCGACCTGCCTGTCCCCCAGCTTGTGTTCCCTCCTTCTCCACTCCCTGCAGGTCGCCCTGCTCTCCCGGCCTCCATGGCTTCGTATCCTCCAGCAGAGAATCCGTGATATGCTTCCTTGCCTCGCTGACTTCGTCGTTCCACCGATTGATCGTCTCCTCCCCTCAGACTATGCCTTTCTTCACGTTGATCTTCTCCTCCCTTCTGACTTCGTCGATCTTCATGTTGATCGTCTCCTCCCAGATCTGGATTTCCTCGGCGAGATCCACTCCCCACAGGTCGCCCTCCACTCCTCTCCGCGGGCGAGTCGCATGCAGAGCTCGACTGTTGTTCTCCGTGTACACCTCGTTCTTCCTCCCGATCCCCGCCTTGGTTGCTGGCTCCGCCGATTTGCTTCAGCTCCTCTCTACTGCTAGTTCCCCGTGGTTTAGGAAATCACAATTGCAGTAAACGAGAAACATACAAGCAAAAAGCAACGAGTCTGAGCGCTACCCCAGTCTACATCCCCTCCTGCCTAGGTGCCTTGTCCCGCAAGCTACCTCTACTCCTAAGCGCGAGTCAGCCGAGCTGATCGCGTAGGCTTCAAGGTGCTAGCTGGGTCCCACTCGGCCCACTAGGCATGCACCGCCTTCCAGCCTGGTGAATGGCGAATTGAATTCCCAGGCTGGCTGGAATCGAATTCGCCACCAACCTCCCCCCCAACCACCTCGAAATCCTCAGCAGCTCGACTCTGTATAGTACAGTAACATTCCAAAAGAGCAAACAAAGTAAAATGCAAAAAGCAGTAAACTATAGTACACCTCACCTTGGCTGCTGTGTAATTCACACTTAGTTGCCAGCTAAGTGTTAATCACGCGACAGCTGTCGTGAATCCCCTCTGCTGTCCCTTCCTTCTCACTCTCCCTTGCATCCCTGCCTGACTTCCTCACTCCCTCTCCCTCCACCTCTCATCCAGGTGACCGGCTCATCCCTTCTTCCTCCTGGCGTATGTAATCACTCTGTTCTGATCCCCTCCTCGTATCTCAGGCTTCCCTGCCCCCTCCCGTGACTGAGCACGCACCCGAGCTGCTCCAGACACGGGATCCAATGCCTGAGGCTTCTCCCTTCCCGCCCTGGCCACGTTGGTGATATGCTCCTTCAGGTACTCCCCTCGATCATCCTCCAGCACTAGCACCCCCGACTCCCTTACCTCTTTCACCCTCCATCGCTCCGGTCCCACAGCTAAGTCCAGCGTATCTCGCTTAGCCCTGCGCAGGTACACCTCCTGCCCCGCTTCCACTTGGTGACTCTTTCCTCCCATCCCTCCTGCTTTGCGCTGCTGGTACCGCCTTGCATCCCTCAGCTGCGCCACGTGTAGATTATCCAAGGCAGCTGGAGTCAGCTCTTTCAGATACCTCGCCCTCTTCTCCGCTAATCCCGCCCACAGGCTCGGCTCGTCCGCTTCAATCGTCGCCGAGAGCAGCTTCGGTGCATCCACAGGTAGCACCGGGTCCCGTCCGTACAGTAGATGATACGGGGACAGATGCTTCAGCGCTGCCTGCTTCGCAAACCGGTATCCCGCAAGCACCCACCAGAGATCCCTGTCCCAACTCCTCTTGTGTGTCTCTCCATAGGCCCGAAGTCCTTTCTTCACGGTTTGTATGAGCCTCTCTGTCAGCCCGTCCGATTGAGGGTGATACCTTGAGGTGACACGATGCGTAATGCCCATCTCCTCTAGCAGCTCATCAAAGCTCCCTTGAAATTCTGTCCCTTGATCGGTAAGCACCTCCCCACATGCACCGTACCTGGTCAGTACTAACTCCTCGAATGCGTCCGCTATCAGTGCGCTACTCTTGCTTGGTAATGCTCGCGCCTCCACCCATTTGCTCGTGTGCTCAACCATGATCAGGATGTACTGCTTCCCTCCTTTTGATAATGGTAACTCTCCTGCCAGGTCCAGCGACCACCTGTAACCTAACCCCCGAATCGGTAGTGAGTGCAGCTCCTCCCTCTCCTTTTCCAGCCTTGCTTTATTCCTTTGACAAGCCTCGCAGCTGGCTACCAGTCCTGCCACATCCTTCCCCATGCTTGCCCACCAGTACATGGTGCTCAGCAGCTGCCGTGTCCTGGTGATGCCGTAATGTCCCAGCTTCGCATGCACCTTCCCCATGATCCTGTTCCTCTCTTGCGGCTGCGGCACTACCCTCCATCCTTCGCTGGTCCTCAGCTGCAGCTGCTCCTGAAACCATCTGTAATGCTGCCCTCTGGCTCTTGCTCTCTCACTTACGCCTTCCTCCTCCAGTGGCTCCCCTTTGATCCAGCTCATGGTCTCCTCGTCCTCCCATATATCTGCTAACCGCTTCTCTCCCTTCTCCTGCCCCCAGCTTACGGCCACGGTGTGGGCTAAGGCCGCCAGCTGCGCTACCGGCTGCATCGGTGGTGGGTTCCTTGACAGCCCATCTGCATGCTGCAGTGTTTTACCCGGTCGGTGCCGGATCTCAAAGTCAAATCCCAACAACTTGATAGCCCATCGAGCGTTTCTTCCCGTCAGCTCTTGATTAGTCATCAACCATAGCAGTGGCTGATGATCAGTCACTAATGTGAAGTGCCGGCCCTGTAGGTATACCTTGAAATGCGTGATTCCCCACACTGCCGTCAGGCCCTCTCCCTCGTATGAGCAGTAGTTAGCCTCGGATGGGCTGCAGCTTCGGCTGGCAAAGGCTATCACTCTTTCCTCTCCCTCGATTTCTTGGCAGAGCACCGCTCCCATTCCCGTACTGCTCCAGTCCGTGTACAGGATGAAAGGCGCTTCTGCCCTCGGTATCTGCAGTAAGGTCCCTGTCCTAACTGCTTCGAGCAAGTCCTGCCTTGCTGCCTCCTCCACCTCTCCCCATTGCCAGCTCTTCCCTTCCCTCAGCAGCTGGTTCAGCACGTAGGCACGGCGACTGAAGTTTGACACAAACTTCCTGTAATAATTCAGGAAGCCGAGTAACGCCCGCAGCCCTGTCTTATCCTTTGGCGCTGCCAGGTTCTCCAGCACCTTAACCTTTGCCTCTTGTATGGCCAGCCGACCGCCCTTCACTTCAAACCCCAGGTAAGCCACCGTGTGCCTCGCTATCTTACACTTATCTGGGTGACACGTCAGCCCCGCAGCTGCTATTGCCTCCAGAGTCTGCTTCAGATCTTGCACATGCTGTTCTTTGCTGCTGCTGTAAATCAACACGTCATCAATGTAGCATGCTGCGGCTGGAACCCCCTTCAGCACTTGATCCATGGCTCTCTGGAACACTGCTGGTGCGTTACGAAGCCCGAAAGGCATAACGTTGTACTCATACAAACCGTCCACCCCGTGAAATGCTGTTTTCCGTTTATCTGCTTCTCTAATGCCTATTTGATTGAAGCCCTGCCGCAGGTCCAAGGTGGTAAAGACGGTGGCCCCTTCCAGCCGGTCGAAAATGTCTTCAGCAGTCGGCATAGGGTATCTGTCTGGGCTTGTAATCTTGTTCAGCTCCCGAAAATCCCCGCACATCCGCTTCGCTAGAATCTTTCCCGTGATGTCCTTCCTAGCAGCCACCACCGTGGCCGCCGCGTAACTTGATTCTGACGGGCGAATAATCCCTGCAGCTAGCAACTCCTCACATTTCTCCTTGCAGATGGCTGCATCCTCCGCATTCATTCGCCTCCTGCGTTGGTATGTAGGTAGCTCAGTCGTGAGGTTCAGCTCCAGCTCTCTCCCCTTGTATCTCCCCAATTCCTGCAGGTTATAGGCGAAGGTGCCCCTATGCTGCTGCAACACCTCCCTGATTGCTTCGGCTGCTTGCTCCCCTATACCTGCCCCCAGCTCCCAGGTTTTGCCCGGCTCTGCTTCCGTCCCTACTGGTGGTGCAGTTTTGATCTCCTTCTCGTCTGTGAGCTTGCTGACAGCGGCGTAAGCAGCCTACTTGCTGCCCCTGCACTTCTCCTCTTCCGTCTTTCCCTTTTTCTCGGCTGGCCCCTTTCTCATCTCACTAATTAGCCATCGCAGTGAGTGCTGGTCTATGGCTCGGCCCAAGGCAGCTTTGCGCACCTCCTCCCCTACTCCATCTGCTGCAGTTGCCCCCGGCAGGTACCCCATGGCTAATTCCCTCTCCAAAGCAGTCGGCTCCTCCCATCTTTTCTTACGGTGATCATACACCATCCCTGGACCTGGAGTCCCTTCCACTTCGACAAATCCCCGTGCCTTTGCATAGGCCACCAGTGTCGGCCAGGCCCTCCTCGCTTCCCCCACTCGGTTACACTGATACTGTCGCGGATGATCTGGCTTTACCACTGGGGCGGCCACTCTCCCTGGTTCCAGAATGTCTTCCACGATTCGGCTCTCATCTCTCTCCACCCTTGCTAATCTCGCCCTCAGTTCTCCTTCTGGCAGGACGTTCTGCCAGTACTGCCGCACTCTATGACACCTTGCCCCCAGCTGTGCCCCGTCACAACTCACTCCCCTTCCCAATTCTGCTTCCACCAGTTCGCGTACGGCTCGGACCGGCTCCCTGCTATCACTCCTCATATCCACATGTTCTAGGATGTACGCATATTCCCCGCCAGATTCTCTCGCCCACCTCATAATCGTCAGCAGTGTTGTCACCATCGCCGTGCGGTCATCCTGCATTCCTCTTCCCTTCCCCGCTCGGGAAGTACCCTGGCACTCCCACCCTGCTACCAACAGGTCCACCTTTCCCCAGCGGTTCACGTCTTCCTTGGTAAGCTGTCCCACATCCCACTTCTCATTCTGCATGGCCTCCCGTATCACTTCCTTCGCCAGTTGAGCTGGGTACCGCTGCTGCAGTATCTGTGCATGCTTCCAAGCCATCCTCCTCACCTCCGGGTCTATTTCCACATACACCCATCTTTTCACCTTCAGCCCTGCTTCCAGTGCCGCCGCTAAGCCTGCCCCCAGCCCTCCAAACAGCTCCACTAAGGTAACGCTATACTGGTTCAGGTTAGCTCCGACCTTGCCCTCTTTGGTACTCCCCCTCCTTACGCTCTCTCTTCTCATGCCCTCCGCCCTCCAAGCCTTCTTCGGTTCTGTCTTGACAAACCGCACTGGCAGCTCACTCAACTCCTTTCCCTCAATCCAGAAATCCGAGCGGTAGAGCACCTGTTCCTGCCAGGTACAAATTGTTGTACCTATCTTGAATAGCAGCTCCATCCCCAGCAGAACATCATAATCCTCCGATTCCGTCAGCCCACATTGCACTCTTATCGTCGTTTCTCCCTTCTCTCCCGGCTGCAGAGTAATCTCGATGGGGTCCTTAGTACAGGGCATCCACTTTGGTGCCCCTCCCTCGGCTGTCATGATCAGTATGCCTCTGTTTACTATTTCCAAGTCCCCTTTCTCCCGTAACTGTTCTGTCAGCTTCCTTCCCAGCAGGACACTCTGTGCGCCTGTATCCACCACGGCGTTCTCCACTAATATGCCCCTGACAGCCACTGCCTTAGGTTCTACCACCAGGGCCGTGGGTTGGCAGACGAGTCTCTCCTCAGGATGCCGTCGAGCCGTCCTCGGCTTATGGCTTTCTTCTTGTTGCCGAGGGGTTCTCCTTTCAGGCTGCTTCTGCTCTGTCCTGCCATCCTTCCCGCCGCTGCGCAGCCCCAACTCCTCTCGGTCTCTAGGTGGTATGGCCATGGCCCCGTACTCTGCCTCCTCTCTCTCATACTCCTCCTCTTCATCGTCCTCCCAAGCCAGCAATGCCTTCTCAGGGTCCTCACTAATCTCAGTCTTCTCCAACTGTCCCTTCAGCTTCGCCACCTCTCTCTCTAACTGTAACTCCCTTGCCGATTTTCCTCGCATTCTCTCTCCCTTGCTGTAGCACCTGTCTTCAGTATGCCCCCTTTTCCCACACCCGGTGCAGATAGGTGCCTTGGGGCAGTCACGTCTGAAATGTCCTTTCATCTTGCATGTGTCGCACACTATGTCTATGGCGCAGTCCTTCCGCACGTGCCCCTTTTCGCCGCACTTGTAACACCTGCGTCTATCTTCAGACGGCCTCTCTCTTCGTTCCTCTTCCCCCTGTCTCCCTTCCACCGCTGCCCAAGCAGGCCTCCGACGTTCGCTCGGCCGACTGGAGCTTGACCCCCTCATTCCTTCGAAAAACCTCTTTCCATCCTCCACTTCTTTCGCCACCTGGTACACCTGTCGCAGCTTCGCCCGTACCCCCAAGGAGTATAGTCGGCTTCTCATGTCTCGTATCAAGTCCCCATCCAGTCCGTTGACGAACTTGGTCACTAGGATGCGCTCCTCCACGCAGCCCATATCCTCTGCCAGCTCCAGTAAACGGTTATAGTAGGCCAACATCGACTCTGCCGGCGCTCTTCTGAAGTCTTGAAACTCCGCCATCCGGTCAGCCGAATGCCCCGGGAACTGCTCCTGCAGGCTTTCCAAGAAACGGTCCGTAATATCTGCCGGTAAGATATCTCCTCTGTTGCTCCGCATCAGCAGCCCCTGCCTCTCCACGCGGTAATGAGTCAACGCCTCTCCTTTGAGAGTCCTCCCCAAGCCTCTGAAAAATTCAATAGGATCCAGTCGCTCCCTATCCCAGCAGTAGCGAATGTCTTCAATCATCATCAGGTAGTTTTTCAGCGTGGGCTCCTCTCCGGGTGCCCCCGAGAAGCGGTCTGGTACCTCAATTTTGGGTGGTGTAGTACTCATCGACCTGCCTGTCCCCCAGCTTGTGTTCCCTCCTTCTCCACTCCCTGCAGGTCGCCCTGCTCTCCCGGCCTCCATGGCTTCGTATCCTCCAGCAGAGAATCCGTGATATGCTTCCTTGCCTCGCTGACTTCGTCGTTCCACCGATTGATCGTCTCCTCCCCTCAGACTATGCCTTTCTTCACGTTGATCTTCTCCTCCCTTCTGACTTCGTCGATCTTCATGTTGATCGTCTCCTCCCAGATCTGGATTTCCTCGGCGAGATCCACTCCCCACAGGTCGCCCTCCACTCCTCTCCGCGGGCGAGTCGCATGCAGAGCTCGACTGTTGTTCTCCGTGTACACCTCGTTCTTCCTCCCGATCCCCGCCTTGGTTACCGCGCGAGATCGTCCCTCCTTCGCCCGCCCGAAATCCAGGCATCCTGACCGGCGGATCACGTCCCTCCATCATCCTCGCCGGGAATCGGTGTCCAGAGCGCAGTTGATGAGTGTGAAGCTCACGGTCGAAATTACTCATTCCTCACGGTGCATCACCGTGGGCAACTCCAGGCAGTAGATCCTGCCACCTCTTCTCTCAACAATCGTAATCCTGACTACCCTTTTTGCTTGTATGAAACAAGACTTAACTCCCTCGCAAGGGCTCCGCCGATTTGCTTCAGCTCCTCTCTACTGCTAGTTCCCCGTGGTTTAGGAAATCACAATTGCAGTAAACGAGAAACATACAAGCAAAAAGCAACGAGTCTGAGCGCTACCCCAGTCTACATCCCCTCCTGCCTAGGTGCCTTGTCCCGCAAGCTACCTCTACTCCTAAGCGCGAGTCAGCCGAGCTGATCGCGTAGGCTTCAAGGTGCTAGCTGGGTCCCACTCGGCCCACTAGGCATGCACCGCCTTCCAGCCTGGTGAATGGCGAATTGAATTCCCAGGCTGGCTGGAATCGAATTCGCCACCAACCTCCCCCCCAACCACCTCGAAATCCTCAGCAGCTCGACTCTGTATAGTACAGTAACATTCCAAAAGAGCAAACAAAGTAAAATGCAAAAAGCAGTAAACTATAGTACACCTCACCTTGGCTGCTGTGTAATTCACACTTAGTTGCCAGCTAAGTGTTAATCACGCGACACAAGGGAGAATGGGGCGAAATATTTTGAAGGGTCCTTTTACGAGTCACACACCATCGCTGCGCACCGGTGCGACACACGCTCCGACTCCTTGCTCTCACTGACGTGGCATGGAGGGGTTGGACAAACAATGAGCTGTTCGAATGCAGAAGGCAAGGAAGGTTCCTCTTTTATGCCTCGAACATCATTGCTGCACATGTATCTGACACACGGCCCAACAGACTCCTTGAGTTTGCTGACGTTATGTCAGGCACATGGCATTATGTCATGCACACATGCAGCTGAGCATCCATCCATCCATCCATCCATCCATCCATCCATCCATCCATCCATCCATCCATCCATCCATCCATCCATCCATCCATCCATCCATCTATATCACACCCATATAGCATATCCATATCAAACCCATGCGTAAGCACAGGCATGCAAATGCATTGCTAGGCTTGAAGCAGAGAAATTATGAGGAAGTTATCATGACAGTACTCCCCAAAACGTGCCCTTATCCTCATAGCAGTACTTCATGGGGCGTTACATATTCCTTACCGCACCAACTTACCGCAGGCATGCGAGCACGTTGCCGGGCTCGGGGTAGAGAAAGTCGTCATCACAGAAGGATGCGATGTCCTCCTTGCACGCCTCCACTGGTGGGTGGGGACGGGGGGGAAGAAAAGGGCGAATGGGATAGGCGAGGGGGGAGTCACCACATACGAGATGAGAGGAGAGAGTGGCAAACAGGAATGCAGTGAGGAATCATCACAGAAGGATGCGATGTCCTCCTTGCACGCCTCCACTGGTGGGTGGGTGCAGCCGGGGAGGAGAACGGGGCGAACAGGGGAGTCGTGAGGCAGGAAAGGCAGTGGAAAGCGGTGCAATGCGCTTCTTGCATGCCTCCCTTCGTGCGTGCAACGCACACACATAGACACCATACTCCCCTCCCCCCCACCCACGCCCACGCACCCATCTCCTTGTTCATGCTGATGTACAACTCGATCTTGATGCTGCTGCCCTTCTGTTGCAGCATATGCAGCATACACAAGCACCTGCAGCACAAACATCCACTCACCCATCTCCCGACTCACCCATCACGCCCACCCCACCCACGCCCACGCACCCATCTCCTTGTTCATGCTGATGTCCTTGTACAGCGCAATCTTGAAGTTGCGGATCTCCAGCAAACACTCCGCGGAGAACTCGGGGTTCGCTGCAGGAGACGTGGGGTGTGGGTGATGCAAAGATCGTGCAAATGTTGATGCGATTGGTGATGAACATGGTTGTGCGTGCGACAGGTGATCCACATGGTTCGGCAAGTGGTGAGGCATATGATTTGTGCGCTGCGGTGCATGGATGGTGCAAACATGTGATTATGCGAACATATTCGGTGCGTGCATGTGAAATTAGCAACGCCATTCACCTCATGCCGTTCCCTCCCTCCGTCCTCCCAACCCCCTTCACCAAGCTATTACCTTTCCCTTTCCCGTTATGCCCTCCCCCACCCTCGCCAAGCGTCTCACCTTTTACTTTCCCCGCCATCACCATCTTGACCTGTGTGCTCAAACACCGCTCCAGAGAGCGGTTGCCTGTGGGTAGGTCCGAACAGTAGGCTGTTATTTCCGCCGTACACGCCCCTGCACGGGTCATATGGGCGCGCGCACACACACACACACACACACACACACACACACACACACACACACACACACACACACACACACACACACATTTGCCTTTTGAGAACCCTCTGATCAAGCTCTCCAGAGTGGCGCTGCTTGTGGGTAGGCTTGCGCAGTGAGCTGCCAATTCCTCCTGTCTTTACACGCCCCTGCGGAAGAGTGTGGAGGGAAGGGAAAAAAATGGAGGAAAGGAAGGGCTTTCTTATCCTTCTTATGTCACACTGCTCTTCCCTCCAATCCCCCCTTCCCCGCTGCCACACCCACCTTGAGGCGCATGGCCGCCCGCCTCCCTCTCCGCCTTGACCACGGACTCGTCCGCTGCTGCTGACTTACTTAAATGGCCGTTCCGCCTGACTGCCCCTCTCCCCACTCCAAAACTCGACTCTCCCACAAATGCCTTCCAAACAGACCCTATCCCACCCACCCACCTTGAGGCACGATATCGCCTGCTTCCTTCTCTGCTTTAACCACGGGGCCGTCGGCTGCTGGCTGCGTGGTGTTGGCCTTGTCCGCTGCCTGCACGCTCGCATGCCGCGCCAGCAGCACACCCACCCACCTTGCAGCACACCCACCCAACTTGCAGGACACCCACGCACCTTGCAGCGCACCCACGCACCTTGAGGCACGATATCGCCCGCCTCCTTCTCTGCTTTGACCACGGGGTCGTCGGCTGCTGGCTGCGTCGCGTTGACCTTGTCCGCTGCCTGTACGCACGCATGCCGCTCCAGCAGCACACCCACTTACCTTGCTTCACACACACCCACCCACCCACCTTGGGGCACGATATCGCCTGCTTCCTTCTCTGCTTTGACCACGGGGTCGTCCGCTGCTGGCTGAGTGGCGTTCGCCTTGTCCGCTGCCTGTACGCATGTATGCCGCGCGAGCAGCACCGCCAGCAGCAGCAGAAGGGGACGGAAGGAACTACGCCAATGTGTAGCCATGGTTGCTGCTGAAAGGAGAACCGGGAGAGTGCGAGGGGGCAGAGAGGAAGGGAGAAGTAGAGGAAAAGTCGTTCAAGTAGAGGAAACCGCACTGGATGCAGGCAAGAAGAGAATAGCACAGAAAAGGGGTGGTAAGGTAAGGGGTCTTCGGTACGAGCGCAAGCGATTTATTTTCCGTTGCTCCTCGCCAGGTATTCGACACGACGCCAGATTTCAGCGCATCGGCCATCGACCTTGAGACCCAGCTACATCGGAGTTCAAGACCCAGCTAAATAAGAATCATTTTCATAGTTACTATTCAGTCACGAACCCAAGAGCTCTCAGTTTGCAGCCAGATTCCCCTGCTTATTCGGCTGGCGAAGTGCAGTGCGGTTAGAAAGGAGGTGACTTGAGTGCACTGCCTGTTCGAACGTCACGTAAACCGTGCGCGCGAATGTCTTGTGCACTCGGTTTGATTCGCTGCTTACGGGCAAGTCACTAGCTAGGCTAACGGGAATAAGAAACCATGGCGGGTCGAACGGATCTTACGATACTCTAAGCTGCGAGGCTGGTGAACTGTTGCCGAATCTCAGAAAATGGTTGGAAATAGAATGAAGTGAAGGTAGAGACTCGATGGTCGGGACGGTGAATAACACGAATTGGATCGTGCTCTCGATAGGGACTGCTGAACGGCGTGGTTTGAATTTAAGACAGCAATCTCATTCTTGCTCTTCATGAAACAAGTTCTCCTCTTTCAATAAATAATTCGCGTCCGGGTGAATTATCGGCGTAACACGTCGTTTCTCCTCATCCCAAGGAGGGGTAACTGATGAACTCCGCGTATAGCTGACTGACACTAATCTATTTTCCACTCCAGATAGAGATCATGTCGGCGTCACGCACTCACCTTGCAATAGCGCCGCGAGGCTCGCAACAGCGGACCAGGTTAAACTCTAAGAAGGCCGGCAAGCCGTCCTCGTGGAACCTTTTAGGCACCTGGCTGAGGGTGCACAAGTCTTGTGTTTCCAGGCTTGCTGTTGTTTGGTGAAATCTAGGTTTGCTGGTGATGCAACTTCTAAATGGCAGCAGAAGATCAAGTGGCGCAGACCACAAGGTAGTGTGCGCTAATAGCTGCTCCGTTCCCTAGTAGCTGAGAAAGATACATGCTGATTGATTTGTTTCGGAAAGTGCGTTCTACAGGTATCAGCGGTCAGAATCTGCTGGGGGTCAAGCCTCACGCATTTTGAAGCGCACATAGATTCAACGCCCAACCTATTTTGAGGCTCGTCCGAACACGCCCTTTTAGACCCTAGTCTAAGTTGTCTTTCCGCCAATCATAGCTGAGCTCTGACGCACCTCGGCCAACTCTTTGTAGGCTGTCGCAATATTTGTCCAAAAATTTGGAATCTGGTACTTCGAGTGTTTAGCAACTCTCCTAATACTGGTGGGCCCCTTACCAGAAGTCACACGAGAATTATAAATATTCAACTCAATTATATGTCGAATTGTACCTATTCTTCATATATTTACCATCCATGCTGGTGTAGTGCACCTGCCTATAGCAACTATCACACAAAGCTGGTATATTCTGATGTCACATCATATGACCAATAATCCCAAAGTGCACATAAACAAAACACCAGCTAAACTAATGTGTATGCTTGTGGAGTGGACAGAAAATGACCAGACAGACATGTATGTAGCTTAAGAAGGGATATCCAGCTGCACTTGTCAAGTAAACAATATTCTAAGGAAGGTGGGGAGGCACTAGTAGATCATTTAGGGAGATTTTGGGCTGTTCTTCATACATCCCATTTACTGAAAATGGAATCCTGACATTCAAAAGATGATGAGGGGAGGGTAAGTGCCCAAATTTTTGGAATGAAAGCAGTATCGATCGAGGGCAGAAAGCAAGGTCAGTAGCAATAGAACAAATCAGGGACAGCTGAAGCATCACTCACTTATGGTCGGTATCGAGGAGGAAGGCATCATTGTCATAACGAGCAACCTCTTTCTTGCACTTCTCATGAATGGCATCCATCATAGCACCCGTCACAAAGGTGGCACTGTGATAGCTGGCGGGGATCATGCCACCGATGCGGTAGAGATGTTTCATGCTTAAAGCAGGGAACTGCACATGAATTTCTTCCAGTGTCATTTCAGATTTTTCAGGAAGGACCTGTTAGTTGGAACAGGTCGGGGCACGAGAGGGTTGGTACAATACGGAATGGACAGCAAAAACATGGTTGAAGGACAAAAAAAGCGAGGGATACCATGCAAAGTCTAAGGTGAAAGAAGGAATGCCTCCCAAGCAGCATCCACAACGGTGGCAGGTGATAGGGAAGCAGAGAGTGGCAGCGATTGGCAGGTACGATAAACTCCACAGCATGCCTGATGTGCTGCAGCTGGTCCCATGCGCCTCCTGCATACACCTCAGTGGCGGCAGCGGTCCACCGCTGCAGCTCTGTCAACCCCTCTTTGAAATACGCGTCGACGAAATGTAAGTTGCAGCAGTGACGATAAAGCAAAACACTGGAAAGATCAGGAGCAGCAACAAGCCCGAATCAAAAGAGGGAGGGGGGATGGGGGGGATTGAGAGAGACACTAAGGAATTGTGGATGGGGGGAAGTTGGATTTTACAGCATGGGTTTGGTTAAAGAGAGGCCAACAGAGAGAGATGTCAAAGGAGATAACGGAATGCCAGATGTTGGTTCCATACATGGGTATGCAAGAAGCTAAACAAGCGCACTTAAACTGTAAACAGCTTTAAATGTATGCAGCGCAAGCAGCTTCAACTCAAAGGCAGCCAGAATCGCAAGCACCTTGATTTCTCGAGCAGCCAGAATAAGCAAGCAGCCATATTTTGCAGCGAGATACTACAACTGACCGGTTAAAGAGCTCGGCATTGACGAGTGCATAGATCTGTCGGAAGAGGCTCCTGACGAGGAAGGCAGGCACGTGGTTGAGCTTCAGAAAGTTGAGCATATCTGAGAGCTTCATGGTTATAAGGTTCCACCGTGCTTCTGCTGCTGGTATTGAGATCGCCTGGCTTTGTGCTGCTGCTCGCAGGTTTTGCTGATTTGAACTCCTAAGAATACGAGTACTGGCCTGAAGAGGTGAGCATGGGAAGCCAATAGAAAGACAATAAAGATGGGAAGATCGTATAAAGCATAAATTTCCTCCCCCCTTCCCATACAAACATGCACATACACATCCACACGCACACATGCACGCATGCATTCACAAACAACAGCCAAACACATATCCACAGAGATACATACACATCCACACACACACACACAAACACACACACACACAGACACACACACACACACAAAACGCGCATCAACACACTCTTACAACAGTATGCATACCCATACCTCGTAGCCGGCAACCAGTATCGGTGAAACGTCGTTCCTCAGATTGTCTACGAAGAACAGATACACCTTTTCCACGTACGCTGCTAGCTCTTTCCCGAATAGCAGAGCTGGAAACGTGGGTTTTACCAGCTGCACCCCATCAGCCTTCGCTGCAGCTATCTCGTCCTCAGATGGGACAGTTGGGCTGAAAATTTCCTGCAAGAAAGTAAAGATTGAGGTGTTTGACGAACACTTGATTAAGGCAAGCCAATCGAGGGGTTGCTATCAGGAAGAGTGGGATCAGAGTTAGCGTATTGATGGAAATACACTGAGCGACAATGATGTCCCTATCTTCGCTCAACTTAATATACCGTCCCAACACCCAATCCCCTGAATTTCCTCTCCTTTGCAAATGGCACCTGATGCAAGGGAGAAAAAAAAAACGTTCACAAATTGATGCCGCTTCCTCTGCACACATACCTTCCGAAATGCCGCCATTTCCCGTGGAACTTTATCAGTCTTGAAAGATGTCATGAGCAGAAGCAGCAGAGAAGCTGCGTTCGTCAGCCAATACGCCAGCTTGTCAATACTCCCCACTGCATCTTCATCTTCTCCGGCACCAAATCTCGCAGCCTCAGGCTGAGCGTCAGGAGCCACGCCGACATCCGCACCAGGAGCAGCAGATGGATCCTGAGCGCCAATGGCGGCCCTCATGATCCCAATAATCTTGTCAAACACATCTGTAGACTCGGTTTCGAAGGAGCGCCAGTGCACGAGAGCATTGTACATCACACATGCTAAAACAGGCAGTTCGCCGTCAAACCCAAGATCCGTCTGGAGCAGCTGCAGCAGTCTGTCTTGATCCAGCCGGGAGTCGAGGGGCTGAGACATGAGACAAGGGGGTAGATACAGATGGGTGGAGAGATCTAGGGATGAGAGGAGTGGGAAAACGGAAGGCGATGCAGCTGAAACAGATGGGAGGTAATCGGAGTAAATATAGGACAGTTAGTGGAAAAAAAAACAAGCAATAGTCCGCTTATTTGTAAGCTCACCTGCACTTCCTCAGTTACAGTGTCCCTTCTCGGTACTTCACTTGCCGCACCACGAGCAGGGCCGCGAGGGATGGCAGGAGAGGCAGGGCTGCAAACTACGACTTTAGCATCGATAACGTCGTCTGACAAGCGCGATCCTCTGGACGAGGATTGCAGACGCTGCTTCCTCCTCTCAAGCAACTCTGCCATCATTTTTTCTTTTATCTCCTGCAGCTCGTCCGCTGGCAAGCGGCGTACCAAAGCGGAATCCAGTAAGTCAAAGAACGTAGACAGTTCTCCATCGTGGGCATCCATTTTTTGCTGCTGCAAACACCCGAAAGTGTAACTTCACGACTTACGATGAGAGATCTACCGCTCTGGAGTGGCGAAGTGTTATCTACTAGATTGTGTGGAGAACTTGGGACAGTCTCCAGGACTTTGAGCGATTGTCCGCGACCTTCTTCGCATTTTGAGAGGTTCTCCCATTAGATCTGAATAGCCAATAAGTGGTGTTCTAGGAATCTGCTATGCCCTTGGGAACCTTTCGAAGGGCCAGGTGTCCAAGCTGTAGAGAGATTGCGGCATTGCTTGGAAACAAATTACATGTTGTGCGTCAAGCTATCTAGGGGAACGCGGGGAGGAGGATGAGAGGGACAAGCGCTGGCGATTGTTTGCATAATATGGAAGGGGGAACAACCTAGGTTGCAGCTGCGTGACTAGTCTCGTCACCAACGGTGAAATCTCAAGAACATAGCTGCCTAGATTTCAAGATGGAAAGATCCCAAGGCGCTGACGCGTTAGAAGCATACCTTCAATTTCGATTGCTGCAAACGGGTGCTTGAGTTGAGGTACTGTATGCATATCTGCGTCCATTTGTGGTTCCGAGTTTTCATTTTTGTGGGTGCAGCTGGTAGGGTGGGTCCCTAGTTTCTACGTCACGAGGTAACCAACTCGAAAAGTGATTCGTGCGGGGGACACACCTCTGTTCATTTTCCCTGACTTTCCATGGACCCATAGGCGAAGCAGACGATTCATCGCCAAAATCGTGATTCCTGTCGTCCATATCGGTGGGGATATTCTTCGACACATTGACTCGCAAATTCGCGAGGTGTAGGTTCGCGAATCCTTGCTTGCAGCACGAACACGTACATTCCATTGTCAGAAATCGTGAGAAACCCCTACTCTCAGCTCATACCTCGCTTCCTACTAATTGGAGCAAGGAGCTGACAGATTCCTGGGCTCAGTTTCTCGTGTCTTTGCATCGTCTTCCGCCGTATCCAATTTGTTAATAGAAAGTGGGAAGTCATCGTGCCTGATGGGAAGAGTGGCGTTTGACGACTCAAAAGCGCAGAGAATGGGGGAGGCTTCTCCCGCGGAGTCCGCGCCTGCGCGGTGCGCTCCTTCCGCTGGCCCCAGCGCGCCACCCGACGGGGCTGGGCCCCCCGCGGCGATGGCGGAATCCGCGGAAGACCTGGCGGACCTGCTCATTCAGGTCCGCCGAAGCGTCCTTTATTACGTTGTTCGAATATCTAGCGAATGTCACGCGCACCCACCTCCCCCTCCTCTCGCGCATCTCTCCACTTCGTGTACCCCTCGTCTCCCCGCCCCCGCACGCTACCCCACTGTTTGCCCCCATCCTGCCCGATTTTTGTAACCCGCTCTTTCGGTGCCCGTATTCCCCCTTCTCCCCTCGTCCCCCTGGCATTGCGTATGTCTCCCCCCATATGTCACTTCCCAGCTCCCCACTTCCCGCTCTCTCCACCGTGTCTTCCCCTTGTCTCCCCTCAATCTCCCCGCGATTTCCTCCTCCCCTCCCCTCTCTCCCCCACCCCCTCAACGTACAGTGCGCGCGGTACGGGGACATGGAGGACGTGGCAGCAGCGCTGGACGGCGGGGCTGATGCTGGCGTGGCGGACGATGAGGGGCGCACAGGTGAGGCGGGGGAGTGTGGGTGGGGGGATGAGGGGCGCACAGGTGAGGCGGGGGAGTGTGGGTGGGGGGATGAGGGGCGCACAGGTGAGGCGGGGGAGTGTGGGTGGGGGGATGAGGGGCGCACAGGTGAGGCGGGGGAGTGTGGGTGGGGGGATGAGGGGCGCACAGGTGAGGCGGGGGAGTGTGGGTGGGGGGATGAGGGGCGCACAGGTGAGGCGGGGGAGTGTGGATGGGGGGATGAGGGGCGCACAGGTGAGGCGGGGGAGTGTGGGTGGGGGGATGAGGGGCGTACAGGTGGGGGAGGAGGGATGAGGGGCGCACAGGTTGGGGGGTGGAGTGAGGGGCGCATAGATTGGGGGGGGCGGATGAGGGGCGCACAGGTGGGGGATGGGGGATAATGGGAGGAGCACAAATGGGGGTGGGGGGGCACACTTTGGAGGGCATGACGGGCGCACAGGTGGGGGAGGGGAGATAATGGGGGGCGCACAGCTCGGAAGGTGGGGTGAGCGGCGCACAGGGAGGAGATGAGGAGCGCACAGGTGGTGGGGCGATGAGGAGCGCACAGGTGGTGGGTGAATGAGGGGCACGCAGACGGGGGAGGGGATGAGGGGCGCGCAGGTGTGGCTTAAGGTTGCACGCACGTGCTAAAAGGGGTTTTTAAGGTTTGGGTGCTTAAAGCCAAGGGCCAAAGCTGGGTGCGTAGATTTGAAATTCCCCCCACCCATATCCCCCACCTTGCATCTTCCGTTTTCTTCACAGTGTGCCATGCGCACGTTCAGCGCTGCACATGTTGTAACCTCTTTCCCCCACCCCCTCCCTGTGCCATGCGTGCATACATGGCATAACCCTTTCCCACACCCCCTCCCTGTGCCACGCATGAATGCATGTGTGCATCACTGCACATGGCATAACCCCTTCTCTGCACCCCCTTCCTCTGACATGTGTGCATGTATGCATGCAGCGCTGCACATGGCAGCAGCCAATGGCCACACAGAGATCGCTTGCCTGCTCATCCAACGAGGGGCTGTGAGTGTCTTCCCTTCCACTGCCCCCTCCTCCTTGGCCCTCCCCCCTTGGCCCTCCCCCCTTGGCCCTCCCCCCTTGGCCCTCCCCCCTTGGCCCTCCCCCCTTGGCCCACCCCACCCCCCCAATACCCACTTCCCTGCTGATCCAACAAGGCTCTGTGAGCTCCCCTTGCTGCGCTGCTCCCCCCGGCTGTCCACCAATCCTGCTGCAATGGCTGCTAATGCCCCTCCCTCCCTGCTGTCCCTTCCTTCTGCCTCTAATCCATGTGAGCCGTGTGCCCCTCCCGTCTATGCTCCTTCCCATCCCACGCTGTACCCTGTACACCATGCGCCCCTTGCTCGTGCAACCCTTGAACCCGGGCCCCTTGTCTCTCAGCCAGTGAATGCAGTGAACCGGCAGGGCAACACACCGCTGCACTGGGCGGCTGTTAATGGCAGGGACTCGGTGAGTGCAGGGCGGGAAGGGGCAGGTGGGTGCAGGGGCAGATGGAGGGGGAAGCAAGGGAAACCCTTTGTATTCTGTGCGCCGACTGCAGTGAAGCCTGCTCCTTGTGTTTCCATGGTCCATGCATCATCACCAATGCACATGAGGTGCCGCTCGTCCTTTCCCCTGGCCCAGACACCCCACTTGCCAACCCCATCACGTGGTGCATTTGCTCATTTCCGCAGGAGCCAGCCCTTCCGCCTCTTGCCCTTGCTCATTTAGTTGCCTCAACATACCCCTCACAACCCCACACATGCACACCGCCCCACACTACCCCGCCCCACCTCACCTCTTGCCAATTCCATCCGATGGTGCATCTGCTCGTCGCTCCCACCTCTTAGCCATTCGACCTCAGAATGGCCCTCACAATCCCCACACGCAACCCATCCCACCCCACCCCACCGCTTCCCAACCCCTCACCCCTCTCCATCCCATCAGATGGTGCATTTGCTCATCACTGCTGGAGCCAACCCCTCCGCCCTCAACAGGTAACCCCCTCACTCTCCTCACACCTCCCCGCCTCCTACTCACCCCGACTGCTGCTAGCTACAGCCAATGCTGCTTTCTGCTACCCATCCCCAGTCGCTGTAACCATGCAGTCGTCTTGTGGTGAGCACGCGCAGAACATGACAGCCCTCCCACCTGCCGTTTTTGTTTTGTTTTTTGTTTGTTTGTTTGTTTGTTTTTTTCTTTTTCGTAACTCCCCCATCTTCATTTCTATCCCCTTAACCTGCCTTCCCTTAAACTTCATTCCCATCCATCCAGCCATGAGCGAATGCCAGTGGATGAGGCGATTCACAGTAACAACCAGCTCACCTTAGACGCCATCATTGCTTCCCCCCCCACATGCCCTTCTGAACTTTGTGTTTTCACCTTCCCCCACAACTCCCATCCCCGATTCCCAGCCACGAGCGCACCCCAGGGACGAGGCAATTCACAGCAACAATCGGCACACCCTAGGCGCTATTCCCGCCGCCCCTTGCAACTTCCCTTCTCACCTTTGTGTTATCACCTCTCCCACAACCTGCATCTCTTATTTCCAGCCACGAGCGCACGCCAGTGGATGAGGCGATTCACAGCAACAACCAGCTCACCCTAGACGCCATCAACACTGCCGTTGCCACGCGGGATGCTGCGAGCTTGACTGTCGCGGGCAGCCACGGCGACGACACAGGGGGCGATGGCGATGGGGGAGATGAAGCCACGAATATCATGGCGTGAAGGGTTGTGTCTCTTTAAAAGTTGGTGAGTCAACTGAAAAATCAGCACACCCAAGACGCCATCAATGTCTGCCTTGCCCCTTGGGATGCTCGGAGCTTGGCTGTAGCAGGCAGTCAAGGGGGTGACCTGGAGGGCACTGGGGATGGCGGAGGTGCAGGCAGCAGATATTATGGAGCGATGCTTTTTGGGGGAAAGTATTGAGGGGCTGATTGAAAGGTTAGCACATTTTAGATGCTACGTACTCGGGATGCTCGGAGCTTGACTTTAGCAGGCAGTCAAGGGGATGACACAGGGGACGATGTGGATGGGGGAGGCGCAGCAGCGGAGGTTACGGAATGAATGGGTTTCCATTGGAGTTTCTTCTTGGCAGCTCAGAGCTTGGAGCAGAGAGGATCTGAAGCTGATGCGGTGAAGCAGGTGCATGGCAAGCAGGAGGCTCTCTGCCCTGGCCAGTAAAAAGGCTGTTGTTGCCTGCTGACACCTGCTGCTACCGCATGTCTGGTGTTTTGAGGTTGAGATGTGCATTTCACAACTGTACAGGCAATGATTTTATTTGTCAGCTCAGCGCATGCACCTGGGTTTGGCTTCCCTAATGCCATAAATGCAAGCATTTCAACCTCCACCTTGTCTACTTCAGTCAAATGTGACAAAACTCGTGATCACAGCTGTCTAGGTGTCTCAGAAGGCACATTTCCAAACAGAACATAAAGTAGCGTATTTGATTCTGAAAGAAACACACTACAACACATTATGTACTATGCGACCCTAACACTCTTACAATGCCTCCTCTTGACTCTCCATGCTTATGCAGGGAGAGATGTAAAAAGTTTTTTTTGTGCACTGGAGTGGATGCTATGCTACACTACAGCTTTGCCATTCTTCAGCTTCTTTCCACAGGCACCATCAGCAGTACTCTCCAACTTCCTCCCTCCCCTTCCCTCCTGCTGCGGAGGCTCCTGCAGCATTAGAACCCTCAACAGGTGGTGTTGCTGCTGCAGCAGCAGCAGAAGCTGTGGCAGCAGCAGAAGCTGTGGCAGCAGCAGAAGCTGTGGCAGCAGCAGAAGCTGTGGCAGCAGCAGAAGCTGTGGCAGCAGCAGAAGCTGTGGCAGCAGCAGAAGCTGTGGCTGCAGCAGAAGCTGTGGCAGCAGCCTGATGCCCCTTCACGAGCTGGTTGATTCGCTTGAACTGACATGGCCATGCCATGTTGTACAGGAACCCTCATGACTGTCAGTGGCACTATTGATGAAGGGCGACTGGCGTGCCCTCAACTGCAGCAGCAGCAGCGCCTGTAGCCGCTGCGGCCTCATGCTCGGCCACGAGTTGGTCAATGCGTCTGAACTGCCACGGCCATGATCACTCACATCGCAGCTCCCGCTGCGTTAGAGCCCTCACTTGAAAGTGTTGCAGCACCTGCTCCCGCCGCGGCCTCATGCTCCGCCACCAGCTGGTCGATCTGTTTGAACTGCCACGGCCATGCCACGTTGTACAGGAACTGGCGCAGGTCAAACCGGTTGTCCTCCGGAGAGTAGTTCTGGAAGGAAGGAGGGGGAGGGGAGGGACGTGAGGATCAGGTGGGGGGTTGGGGGGGGGTGGGGTGGGGCAGAGGGTAAGAAACAAGGGATGATGGGGATGTGAGCATCTTATGTTGCACATGACCTGCTACAGGTGTAAGCGGTTGCCCCCCAGGAGCTCTGCAATGGGGGTGGGGGGTAGAAGGGGGAGTGACAGGAGTTGCAGGGAAGGGAATGCGAGGGGAAGGGGGGTGCCAGAGGAATGCCTCGTCTGACAAGAACACAAACGTTTTACTCGACTCATTAGCACACAGTTGAGGGTCTACGGTAGGAGAGAGTGGGCAGAGTGAGAGTGGTAGGAGGGAGAGGTAATGATGGGGGGGAGCGAGAGTGGTAGAAAAAAAAGGAGGGGGTGAGAAAGTGAGCCGAGTGAATGGTTACCTCAGCGTGGTAGGAGGGCGTGAGAGTGGTCATCTTGTGACGGTTGATGGAGTAGAAGCGGAAGAACGCCTTCACCTTCCCTGCCACCTCCGCTACTGTCAGCCGCTGCCGCCACTCATGGCACAGATGCTGCGAGGGGGTGTGGAGGGAAGGAAGGAAAGGGGTTGAGGGTAGCAAGTGGCGTAATCACGCCATCGGGAGGGAGTGAGGGTAGGAGCGGGTGGGGGTGGTCATCTTGTGGCGGTTGACGGAGTAGAAGCGGAAAAACGCCTTCACCTTCGCTGCCACCTCCGCTACTGTCAGCCGCTGCCGCCACTCGTGGCACAGATGCTGCGAGGGGGGAGGGACGGAGAGAGGTGATAATTATGAGGGCAGAGGATTGGCGATATCACAAGAGAGAGACTTTTGAGGGACCTCACGAGCGGGAAGGAGTGAGGGTGGTCAGCTTGTGACAGCCGGAGGAATACAAGCAAGGGCCGGTGAGTGCAGCAACATGGTTGTTGTACCTTGCTTGCCTTGTTCATGGAACTCCATCCATCCCCTCTTCCTCCTTCCCCCCAACCCTCTCCTTTCCTCTCTTACTCCTTGGTGCACGATGTAGCAAACGTTGTTCACAAGGCCTCTCCTTAAATCTAATCCCTTTCCTCCCCTCCCATCTAATCCCTTCCTCCTTACTTTCTGACAGCGTGCACGATGTAATGCACGTTGATCATGAGGACGAGCTGTGTGAGGCACCTCGTTGCGGCACAGCTTGCACCCTTAACCTCCCTCCTTACCTTCTCTCCCCTCAACCCATCAACTTGTTGGTTTTTGAGAATCCTGAAAAACCAACTTGTAAGCAGGCCAGTGCAACGACAAGAGCGCTAAGTGCTCGAGCAGAAGTGGCAGAATAATAGCACGTGGAGCATGGCGCAGATAGCATAGCACATGGCACATGATCGCAAATAGCAGCAACAATGTCTACCGATACGCACCTGGAACATGGCAACAGGGCCGCAGCGCAGGACCTTGCGCAGGCGGCCATAGAGGGAGAGCTCCTCGTAGGTCATGCCCATGTCCACCTCGTCCACCTGTGCGGTGTGGGATGGCATGGCATGGCACGAGAATGCACGGCATGGTATTTGATGGCATGGCATGGGATGGCATGGGATGGCATGGGATCGCATGGCATGACATGACATGGCATGATTGCAAGGCACGGGATGACTTGGGATCATATGAGAAGGTGCCATCAGCATGTCATCAAGTCCATCTGCACTCTTCACTCTCTATTGCATTCCATTATGACCTCCTCTCCTCTGAACAGTGCCATCACTGGCCCAAATACACATAGTCCTCTCTGATTGGCCCACCTGCACGTAATCCGCTCTGATTGGCCCACCTCCACGTAGTCTGCTCTGATTGGCCCACCTGCACGTAATCCGCTCTGATTGGCTCCAGCTCAGCGGTGGGCGGCGCGGCCTCGACGTCGGCCAATGAGGCGAAGCCAAGGTGGACTGCCGCCCAGCGCAGGAAGCGGCGAAGGTCCGTCTTGCTAATTCCACCAATGGGGTTGATGTCTGCACTGCTGCAGTCGTACTGATAGGGATGGTGGTGGGGGGAGAGGAGGGTGGGAAAGGGGGAGTAAGAAAGGAGGGAGGCATTAAGTATGGGAAGCAGCGAAGGTCCGTTTTGGTGATGTGGTGATGGGGTTGATGTCTGCACTGCTGCAGCCGTACTGGTGAGAAGGGAAGCAGGAAGTGGGGTGGAAAAGAAGGGGATGGGAGAGTGGGAGTGTTGAGGCGAAGCCAAGGGGGACTGCCGCCGAAGAAGCGGCGGTGGTCCGTCTTGCTGATGTCCCCAATGGGGTTGATATTGGCACTGCCCCAATCGTTATGGCGGGAACAGGGGGAGGGGGGGGGTCGTAAAGAAGGGGAGTTTTTTAGAATTCTCAAAAACACCCTGCAGCATCAGGGACCGGGAGCGTTGAGATGAAGCCACGGTGGACTGTCTTGCAGCACCGAGGTGGACTGTCTTGCAGCACCGAGGTGGACTGTCTTGCAGCACCGAGGTGGACTGTCTTGCAGCACCGAGGTGGACTGTCTTGCAGCACCGAGGTGGACTGTCTTGCAGCACCGAGGTGGACTGTCTTGCAGCACCGAGGTGGACTGTCTTGCAGCACCGAGGTGGACTGTCTTGCAGCACCGAGGTGGACTGTCTTGCAGCACCGAGGTGGACTGTCTTGCAGCACCGAGGTGGACTGTCTTGCAGCACCGAGGTGGACTGTCTTGCAGCACCGAGGTGGACTGTCTTGCAGCACCGAGGTGGACTGTCTTGCAGCACCGAGGTGGACTGTCTTGCAGCACCGAGGTGGACTGTCTTGCAGCACCGAGGTGGACTGTCTTGCAGCACCGAGGTGGACTGTCTTGCAGCACCGAGGTGGACTGTCTTGCAGCACCGAGGTGGACTGTCTTGCAGCACCGAGGTGGACTGTCTTGCAGCACCGAGGTGGACTGTCTTGCAGCACCGAGGTGGACTGTCTTGCAGCACCGAGGTGGACTGTCTTGCAGCACCGAGGTGGACTGTCTTGCAGCACCGAGGTGGACTGTCTTGCAGCACCGAGGTGGACTGTCTTGCAGCACCGAGGTGGACTGTCTTGCAGCACCGAGGTGGACTGTCTTGCAGCACCGAGGTGGACTGTCTTGCAGCACCGAGGTGGACTGTCTTGCAGCACCGAGGTGGACTGTCTTGCAGCACCGAGGTGGACTGTCTTGCAGCACCGAGGTGGACTGTCTTGCAGCACCGAGGTGGACTGTCTTGCAGCACCGAGGTGGACTGTCTTGCAGCACCGAGGTGGACTGTCTTGCAGCACCGAGGTGGACTGTCTTGCAGCACCGAGGTGGACTGTCTTGCAGCACCGAGGTGGACTGTCTTGCAGCACCGAGGTGGACTGTCTTGCAGCACCGAGGTGGACTGTCTTGCAGCACCGAGGTGGACTGTCTTGCAGCACCGAGGTGGACTGTCTTGCAGCACCGAGGTGGACTGTCTTGCAGCACCGAGGTGGACTGTCTTGCAGCACCGAGGTGGACTGTCTTGCAGCACCGAGGTGGACTGTCTTGCAGCACCGAGGTGGACTGTCTTGCAGCACCGAGGTGAGGAAAGTGAGACAAACCCCTCTCCCTCTCCCTCTCCCTCTCCCTCTCCCTCTCCCTCTCCCTCTCCCTCTCCCTCTCCCTCTCCCTCTCCCTCTCCCTCTAGCATCAGCAACACCAACAGTAGCAGCAATAATGGCAGCAGTTGCAACAACAACACTGGCAGCAGCAACAGCAGGAGCAGCAGCGATAACACCTGCAACAGCTGCTCCTGTTGAGGGCGTTGCAGGTGTCGCTGCTGCTCCTGCTGTTGCTGTTACCAGTGTTGTTGGTGAGAGAAGAGGGGATGGAACGAAGGATGGATGGAGTACAGGGAGGGCTGTTGAGGCGACTTTTGAGAATTCTCAAAAGTCACTCGAACATAGCTGAACTGGACTGCTGCAGCGCAGAAAGGGAGGGAGGCCCGTCTTGCTGATGCCTCTGATGGGGTTGATGTCGTCACTGCTGCAGTCGTACCGGTGCGAAAGGGGGAGCGAAGTGCTTGTGTGTGAGAACTGTAATCAAAGGGGAGGCAAGTTGGGGTGTGGTGAGGCCCGAAAACGTCGTTTGAGAATTCTTAAAAGGGATCTATCTATCTTACTGATGCCGGCTATATTGAAATCACTTTTGAGAATCCTCAAAAGTGTGATAAGTCGATTTTTGAGTCGACTCAAAGAGCTATCTTGCTGATGCCGCCGATGGGGTTGATGGCGGCACTGCTGCAGTTGTACCGGTGGGAAAGGAGGGAAATAGTGACCCGTTGGGAGTGAGTGGGGATAGGTGTCGGAGAACAACCTTCCCTTGGCACGTCAGGAAAATCGTTTTCTGATGCCTCCAGTATGATTGATATCAGCAACTATTTATGCGGTACTGAGGAGAGGAGAGTGAGCAACGGGAAGAGTGAGCAACGGGGAGAGTGAGCAACGGGGAGAGTGAGCAACGGGGAGAGTGAGCAACGGGGAGAGAAGGAAGGAACGGATGGATGTTGGTCTTGAGGTAGACTTGGCTCAACAGCAATAAGTGTGACACGCAATGTTTCCTTGGAGAGCACACCTTGGTATGACAGCCCCTCAGCCCCTCGCCCACGTTGGCACTGTCCAGCACGATTGGTTGGTTGATATACCTGTGGGAACCAGCAGTGCTCGCTCTGTGTCACCCTCAGCGCAACAAAATTTAATACCACCATGCTCCCTCTGGAACCAGCAGTGCTCGCTCTGTCTCACCCTCACCGCAACGACTGTGATACCACCATGCTCCCTCTGGAAGCACACCTTAGGGAGGTAGCCTCTCAGAGCCTCGTCCACATTGGCACTGGCCAGCACGAGTGGTTGGTTGATATCCCTGTAGGCACCAGCAGTGCTCGCTCTATCTCATGCGCACCTTAACGACCAACGCACTCTGTGAAAGCCCCTTAACACCTCACCTTGGTGAGGTACCCTCTCAGAGCCTCGTCCACGTTTGCACTGCCCAGCACGAGCAGTCGGATGGATAGTGCATCAGAGATGACTTATCAGTGATGACTGTGATACGCCATGCTCCCCCTTAATGCACACCTTAGTGAGGTATCCCCTCAGAGCCTCATCCACGTTGGCACTGCCCAGCACGAGCAGAAAGCCCCCTCCGCCCCCCCGCTGCTCTGACCCGCCTCCCCTCCCCTTGCTCCTCTCCAGCACCCCTCCCACTGGCACCTTCTCTTCACCCCCTCCCCTTCCTCCTCCCTCCCCTCCCCTTTGCTGTCCGTCAGCTGTGCCCTCCTTCCGCCCCTCCTCTTTCCCCTTCTCCCCCGCCTGCTCTCCCCCTCCTCCCCCTCCTCTGCCGTGTCCGCGCACCCAGGGCAGCAGCTGCGCGAAGAGGAAGGCGAGCACCATGCGCAGGCGCGCCTGAATGTTCTGCAGGGCCAAGTTCTCCGCGGATGTGCCTCCGTCCAGCTGATGGGACGGGTGGTTGGTGGCGGAGGAGGCAAGAGCAAGATGGGAGGGTACGGGATGTGAGGAGAGGAAGGCGGGCGAGCAACATGCGCAGGCGCGCTTGGATGTTCTGCAATGCCAGGTTCTCTGTTGATGTGCCTCCATCCAGCTGATGGGACGGGGGTGGGGAGAAGCGGGAGGGATGGATGGGATTGCAGAGATGAGGACGGGGCTTGATTGTTAGCAGAAGGAGGATTTTTGCGATGTGGGGAGGGCTGCGGTTGCTCAATGCTCAGTGGTGTTGCAAGGAGCCGGACTGCCTAGCTTGACTAACACCATGGAATCTATCTGCCACAAAATCATATCCGCCTTGAATCACAAGCGTTTGTCCTGCAAGATGAGAAGGTGAGAGGGTGCAAATGAACCACCCCACCTTGTATCGCGGGCGCAGGCCAGTGACAGTGAGGAAGAGGGCAACAACAGCAGCGACCACGGAGTCAATACTTGTGTCCAAGTGCCATGCTCCTATCTCCGATGCTAGCTTCTTAGCTCGCGATCGCGTGGCCTGGGAGCTGTGTGCATAGGGCGAGGGCATCAAAGGGAGATAGGTGGGAGGTGAGAGGGAGGAGATCAAAGGGGCGGGAAGGGGGGAGCACACAGGGCTACTTGGCACCCATAGAGCAGGTATTGACCTGCTCATACTGTCCAAATGACAAATGCTTGAGGATACATAGAGGCTATTGGAGCCTCGTTTTTAGACAATGGGTGTGGCACTAATGGGAATATAATGGGTGTGGTGTAGGCACTAGCCCTTAGTCAGCGTGCACGCAAATGGTATTCATGAGAACACGGGGGGTAGGAAGCTAGCTACAGACCTGTTCTCCATGCCCATGTAGATGGTGGGCAGGATGCGATCTGCCAGCCTGGCAGCATGCCGAGATTTGAGGCGCCTTGAAAGTAAAACACATTGAGGTACCTAAAGATATGTACGGACCTGTTCTCCGTGCCCATGTAGATGGTGTTCAGGATGCGATCTGCCAGCCTGGCAGCCTGTCGCTTCTGCTCTTCTGCCGCCGCCCCTGCCGCCAGCTGTAGCCCCGTGATTCGCTCTGCATCCTGCTGCACCTGCTCGTCGCCCTCTGCTATGGCTGTGAGCAGGAATCACAGGTGAACACAAGGAGAGGGAGTGGAAGCAGAAGGATGGGGTGGGGTGGGGGCCAGGGGGGGTGCAGTGGGCGGCAGGGAGGGCAAGGGCGTGACTGTGGCTCGCTCTGAGTTGTGTTGCATGCACCTACACGTTTCCCCCTCCTGCCTATCATCACCAGCTGGCACATGCGCTTCCCCCTCCTGCCTATCATCACCAGCTGGCACATGCGCCTTACTGTGCGACCATGGATGACCTGTCAGCAGCACCAGATAGAAGCATCACTATTGACACCCGAAAGCAACCCACAGCACCACAATGCACCGCATCACACCTTTAACGACCGGCTGGCACATGCAGCCCACAATAGCGGCCACAGAGGAGCTGTCAGCACCGCCTGACAGCGGCAACAGGAAGCCAGAAGCCCCACTGCGCCTGAAGTAGTCTCACAGCCAACATGCCATAGCACCTCATAGCATCACTTTGCACCGCATTAGACCCCATAGCACCCCATAGCACCGCATTGCACCTTTCACAACCAGCTGGCACATGCAGCCCACTATGGCGGCCACGGATGAGCTGTCAGCACCGCCCGACAGCGGCAGCAGGAAGCCCGATGCCCCACTGCGCCGCAGATAGTCCCACAGCCAACACGCGGGGCCCAGAGCGATTTCCTCCTCGGGGCAGTGGTAGCGAATCTGGTGGCGTGTGGGCGGAGTACGCAGGGGGAGCATGAGGGCATGCGAGGAGGGAGTGGGAAGAGAGGCACTCTGAAGCCAGTGCCTCCTGGGCGCCACACCACAGATAGTCCCACAGCCAGCATGGTGCGCCCACGGCCAGCATGGTGCGCCCACAGCGATCTCCTCTTCCGGGCTGTGGTAGCGAATCTGGTGGTGCGTGGGGGGAGGGAAAAGGGAGCACAAGGGGGGTGAAGGAGGAGAGACACTCTGAAGCCGGTGGCTCCACTGCGCCTCAGGGTAGTGGAACAGTGGTAGCGGATTTGGGCAGAGGAGAGGGAGAGCAGGTGGCGCGTAGTGTCACGTGATTAGCAAGCTGCTTTTGAGTCGACTCAAAAGGTGGCGCGTAGTGTCACGTGATTAGCAAGCTGCTTTTGAGTCGACTCAAAAGGTGGCGCGTAGTGTCACGTGATTAGCAAGCTGCTTTTGAGTCGACTCAAAAGGTGGCGCGTAGTGTCACGTGATTAGCAAGCTGCTTTTGAGTCGACTCAAAAGGTGGCGCGTAGTGTCACGTGATTAGCAAGCTGCTTTTGAGTCGACTCAAAAGGTGGCGCGTAGTGTCACGTGATTAGCAAGCTGCTTTTGAGTCGACTCAAAAGGTGGCGCGTAGTGTCACGTGATTAGCAAGCTGCTTTTGAGTCGACTCAAAAGGTGGCGCGTAGTGTCACGTGATTAGCAAGCTGCTTTTGAGTCGACTCAAAAGGTGGCGCGTAGTGTCACGTGATTAGCAAGCTGCTTTTGAGTCGACTCAAAAGGTGGCGCGTAGTGTCACGTGATTAGCAAGCTGCTTTTGAGTCGACTCAAAAGGTGGCGCGTAGTGTCACGTGATTAGCAAGCTGCTTGCACAAGTAGGTGAAGGTTGACGCAGGTAGAGAACAAGGAGAGAATGCAATGAAGATATCAGATGATTAGGAGGAGAGTGGAAGGAGAACGGAAGGAGAGCAGAAGGAGAGTGGAAGGAGACTGGGAGGAAAGTGGAAAGATGGTGGATGGAGGGTAAGAGGAGAGCAGAAGAAGAGTGGAAGGAAGGATACCTGAATGGGGTGCGAGGTGGCGAGAGTAAGGCTGGCGGATGCAGGGTGGCAGATGGAGATGTCGGAGGGGATGCGCACGATGCCAGGGGAGGCGGAGGCAGAGGAGGGAAGGGTGGGGAAGGAGGCGGAGGGTGCTGGGGCGGACGCTGAGGCCTGCTCCCTCATGCTGCTGATGGCGCCTCTGTAGCTCGCCACCTGGAGGGGCGCACAAGGGGAAGAAGTGTGAGGGGCAGGAGAGACATGAGAGGCGTGAGAGGCATGAGAGGATGAGAGGATGAGAGGATGAGAGGATGAGAGGATGAGAGGATGAGAGGATGAGGGGAATGAGGGGAAAAGGGAAAGGATTACGCCTGCTCCCTCAGGCTGCTGACGGCGCCTCTGCTGCTCGCCACCTGGAGGGACAGTAGAGGGGAGAGGTGTGCGGTGGATCAGAGGGATGAGAGGGATGAGAGGGATGAGAGGGATGAGAGGGTTGAGAGGGATGAGAGGGATGAGAGGTTGGAGAGGGACGAGAAGCCGGCTCCCTCAGGCGGCTGATGGCGCCTCTGTAGCTCGTGAAATGGTTTGGGAAAGAACGGCACGTGAGGAGAAGCGAGCGTGCAGCAGTGAGGAGAAGCGAGCGTGCAGCAGTGAGGAGAAGCGAGCGTGCAGCAGTGAGGAGAAGCGAGCGTGCAGCAGTGAGGAGAAGCGAGCGTGCAGCAGTGCGGAGAAGCGAGCGTGCAGCAGTGAGGAGAAGCGAGCGTGCAGCAGTGAGGAGAAGCGAGCGTGCAGCAGTGAGGAGAAGCGAGCGTGCAGCAGTGAGGAGAAGCGAGCGTGCAGCAGTGAGGAGAAGCGAGCGTGCAGCAGTGAGGAGAAGCGAGCGTGCAGCAGTGAGGAGAAGCGAGCGTGCAGCAGTGAGGAGAAGCGAGCGTGCAGCAGTGAGGAGAAGCGAGCGTGCAGCAGTGAGGAGAAGCGAGCGTGCAGCAGTGAGGAGAAGCGAGCGTGCAGCAGTGAGGAGAAGCGAGCGTGCAGCAGTGAGGAGAAGCGAGCGTGCAGCAGTGAGGAGAAGCGAGCGTGCAGCAGTGAGGAGAAGCGAGCGTGCAGCAGTGAGGAGAAGCGAGCGTGCAGCAGTGAGGAGAAGCGAGCGTGCAGCAGTGAGGAGAAGCGAGCGTGCAGCAGTGAGGAGAAGCGAGCGTGCAGCAGTGAGGAGAAGCGAGCGTGCAGCAGTGAGGAGAAGCGAGCGTGCAGCAGTGAGGAGAAGCGAGCGTGCAGCAGTGAGGAGAAGCGAGCGTGCAGCAGTGAGGAGAAGCGAGCGTGCAGCAGTGAGGAGAAGCGAGCGTGCAGCAGTGAGGAGAAGCGAGCGTGCAGCAGTGAGGAGAAGCGAGCGTGCAGCAGTGAGGAGAAGCGAGCGTGCAGCAGTGAGGAGAAGCGAGCGTGCAGCAGTGAGGAGAAGCGAGCGTGCAGCAGTGAGGAGAAGCGAGCGTGCAGCAGTGAGGAGAAGCGAGCGTGCAGCAGTGCGGAGAAGCGAGCGTGCAGCAGTGAGGAGAAGCGAGCGTGCAGCAGTGAGGAGAAGCGAGCGTGCAGCAGTGAGGAGAAGCGAGCGTGCAGCAGTGAGGAGAAGCGAGCGTGCAGCAGTGAGGAGAAGCGAGCGTGCAGCAGTGAGGAGAAGCGAGCGTGCAGCAGTGAGGAGAAGCGAGCGTGCAGCAGTGAGGAGAAGCGAGCGTGCAGCAGTGAGGAGAAGCGAGCGTGCAGCAGTGAGGAGAAGCGAGCGTGCAGCAGTGAGGAGAAGCGAGCGTGCAGCAGTGAGGAGAAGCGAGCGTGCAGCAGTGAGGAGAAGCGAGCGTGCAGCAGTGAGGAGAAGCGAGCGTGCAGCAGTGAGGAGAAGCGAGCGTGCAGCAGTGAGGAGAAGCGAGCGTGCAGCAGTGAGGAGAAGCGAGCGTGCAGCAGTGAGGAGAAGCGAGCGTGCAGCAGTGAGGAGAAGCGAGCGTGCAGCAGTGAGGAGAAGCGAGCGTGCAGCAGTGAGGAGAAGCGAGCGTGCAGCAGTGAGGAGAAGCGAGCGTGCAGCAGTGAGGAGAAGCGAGCGTGCAGCAGTGAGGAGAAGCGAGCGTGCAGCAGTGAGGAGAAGCGAGCGTGCAGCAGTGAGGAGAAGCGAGCGTGCAGCAGTGAGGAGAAGCGAGCGTGCAGCAGTGAGGAGAAGCGAGCGTGCAGCAGTGAGGAGAAGCGAGCGTGCAGCAGTGAGGAGAAGCGAGCGTGCAGCAGTGAGGAGAAGCGAGCGTGCAGCAGTGAGGAGAAGCGAGCGTGCAGCAGTGAGGAGAAGCGAGCGTGCAGCAGTGAGGAGAAGCGAGCGTGCAGCAGTGAGGAGAAGCGAGCGTGCAGCAGTGAGGAGAAGCGAGCGTGCAGCAGTGAGGAGAAGCGAGCGTGCAGCAGTGAGGAGAAGCGAGCGTGCAGCAGTGAGGAGAAGCGAGCGTGCAGCAGTGAGGAGAAGCGAGCGTGCAGCAGTGAGGAGAAGCGAGCGTGCAGCAGTGAGGAGAAGCGAGCGTGCAGCAGTGAGGAGAAGCGAGCGTGCAGCAGTGAGGAGAAGCGAGCGTGCAGCAGTGAGGAGAAGCGAGCGTGCAGCAGTGAGGAGAAGCGAGCGTGCAGCAGTGAGGAGAAGCGAGCGTGCAGCAGTGAGGAGAAGCGAGCGTGCAGCAGTGAGGAGAAGCGAGCGTGCAGCAGTGAGGAGAAGCGAGCGTGCAGCAGTGAGGAGAAGCGAGCGTGCAGCAGTGAGGAGAAGCGAGCGTGCAGCAGTGAGGAGAAGCGAGCGTGCAGCAGTGAGGAGAAGCGAGCGTGCAGCAGTGAGGAGAAGCGAGCGTGCAGCAGTGAGGAGAAGCGAGCGTGCAGCAGTGAGGAGAAGCGAGCGTGCAGCAGTGAGGAGAAGCGAGCGTGCAGCAGTGAGGAGAAGCGAGCGTGCAGCAGTGAGGAGAAGCGAGCGTGCAGCAGTGAGGAGAAGCGAGCGTGCAGCAGTGAGGAGAAGCGAGCGTGCAGCAGTGAGGAGAAGCGAGCGTGCAGCAGTGCGGAGAAGCGAGCGTGCAGCAGTGAGGAGAAGCGAGCGTGCAGCAGTGAGGAGAAGCGAGCGTGCAGCAGTGAGGAGAAGCGAGCGTGCAGCAGTGAGGAGAAGCGAGCGTGCAGCAGTGAGGAGAAGCGAGCGTGCAGCAGTGAGGAGAAGCGAGCGTGCAGCAGTGAGGAGAAGCGAGCGTGCAGCAGTGAGGAGAAGCGAGCGTGCAGCAGTGAGGAGAAGCGAGCGTGCAGCAGTGAGGAGAAGCGAGCGTGCAGCAGTGAGGAGAAGCGAGCGTGCAGCAGTGAGGAGAGCGAGCAGTGAGGAGAAGCGAGCGTGCAGCAGTGAGGAGAAGCGAGCGTGCAGCAGTGAGGAGAAGCGAGCGTGCAGCAGTGAGGAGAAGCGAGCGTGCAGCAGTGAGGAGAAGCGAGCGTGCAGCAGTGAGGAGAAGCGAGCGTGCAGCAGTGAGGAGAAGCGAGCGTGCAGCAGTGAGGAGAAGCGAGCGTGCAGCAGTGAGGAGAAGCGAGCGTGCAGCAGTGAGGAGAAGCGAGCGTGCAGCAGTGAGGAGAAGCGAGCGTGCAGCAGTGAGGAGAAGCGAGCGTGCAGCAGTGAGGAGAAGCGAGCGTGCAGCAGTGAGGAGAAGCGAGCGTGCAGCAGTGAGGAGAAGCGAGCGTGCAGCAGTGAGGAGAAGCGAGCGTGCAGCAGTGAGGAGAAGCGAGCGTGCAGCAGTGAGGAGAAGCGAGCGTGCAGCAGTGAGGAGAAGCGAGCGTGCAGCAGTGAGGAGAAGCGAGCGTGCAGCAGTGAGGAGAAGCGAGCGTGCAGCAGTGAGGAGAAGCGAGCGTGCAGCAGTGAGGAGAAGCGAGCGTGCAGCAGTGAGGAGAAGCGAGCGTGCAGCAGTGAGGAGAAGCGAGCGTGCAGCAGTGAGGAGAAGCGAGCGTGCAGCAGTGAGGAGAAGCGAGCGTGCAGCAGTGAGGAGAAGCGAGCGTGCAGCAGTGAGGAGAAGCGAGCGTGCAGCAGTGAGGAGAAGCGAGCGTGCAGCAGTGAGGAGAAGCGAGCGTGCAGCAGTGAGGAGAAGCGAGCGTGCAGCAGTGAGGAGAAGCGAGCGTGCAGCAGTGAGGAGAAGCGAGCGTGCAGCAGTGAGGAGAAGCGAGCGTGCAGCAGTGAGGAGAAGCGAGCGTGCAGCAGTGAGGAGAAGCGAGCGTGCAGCAGTGAGGAGAAGCGAGCGTGCAGCAGTGAGGAGAAGCGAGCGTGCAGCAGTGAGGAGAAGCGAGCGTGCAGCAGTGAGGAGAAGCGAGCGTGCAGCAGTGCGGAGAAGCGAGCGTGCAGCAGTGAGGAGAAGCGAGCGTGCAGCAGTGCGGAGAGAGCGTGCAGCAGTGAGGAGAAGCGAGCGTGCAGCAGTGAGGAGAAGCGAGCGTGCAGCAGTGAGGAGAAGCGAGCGTGCAGCAGTGAGGAGAAGCGAGCGTGCAGCAGTGAGGAGAAGCGAGCGTGCAGCAGTGAGGAGAAGCGAGCGTGCAGCAGTGCGGAGAAGCGAGCGTGCAGCAGTGAGGAGAAGCGAGCGTGCAGCAGTGAGGAGAAGCGAGCGTGCAGCAGTGAGGAGAAGCGAGCGTGCAGCAGTGAGGAGAAGCGAGCGTGCAGCAGTGAGGAGAAGCGAGCGTGCAGCAGTGAGGAGAAGCGAGCGTGCAGCAGTGAGGAGAAGCGAGCGTGCAGCAGTGAGGAGAAGCGAGCGTGCAGCAGTGAGGAGAAGCGAGCGTGCAGCAGTGAGGAGAAGCGAGCGTGCAGCAGTGAGGAGAAGCGAGCGTGCAGCAGTGAGGAGAAGCGAGCGTGCAGCAGTGAGGAGAAGCGAGCGTGCAGCAGTGAGGAGAAGCGAGCGTGCAGCAGTGAGGAGAAGCGAGCGTGCAGCAGTGAGGAGAAGCGAGCGTGCAGCAGTGAGGAGAAGCGAGCGTGCAGCAGTGAGGAGAAGCGAGCGTGCAGCAGTGAGGAGAAGCGAGCGTGCAGCAGTGAGGAGAAGCGAGCGTGCAGCAGTGAGGAGAAGCGAGCGTGCAGCAGTGAGGAGAAGCGAGCGTGCAGCAGTGAGGAGAAGCGAGCGTGCAGCAGTGAGGAGAAGCGAGCGTGCAGCAGTGAGGAGAAGCGAGCGTGCAGCAGTGAGGAGAAGCGAGCGTGCAGCAGTGAGGAGAAGCGAGCGTGCAGCAGTGAGGAGAAGCGAGCGTGCAGCAGTGAGGAGAAGCGAGCGTGCAGCAGTGAGGAGAAGCGAGCGTGCAGCAGTGAGGAGAAGCGAGCGTGCAGCAGTGAGGAGAAGCGAGCGTGCAGCAGTGAGGAGAAGCGAGCGTGCAGCAGTGAGGAGAAGCGAGCGTGCAGCAGTGAGGAGAAGCGAGCGTGCAGCAGTGAGGAGAAGCGAGCGTGCAGCAGTGCGGAGAAGCGAGCGTGCAGCAGTGAGGAGAAGCGAGCGTGCAGCAGTGAGGAGAAGCGAGCGTGCAGCAGTGAGGAGAAGCGAGCGTGCAGCAGTGAGGAGAAGCGAGCGTGCAGCAGTGAGGAGAAGCGAGCGTGCAGCAGTGAGGAGAAGCGAGCGTGCAGCAGTGAGGAGAAGCGAGCGTGCAGCAGTGAGGAGAAGCGAGCGTGCAGCAGTGAGGAGAAGCGAGCGTGCAGCAGTGAGGAGAAGCGAGCGTGCAGCAGTGAGGAGAAGCGAGCGTGCAGCAGTGAGGAGAAGCGAGCGTGCAGCAGTGAGGAGAAGCGAGCGTGCAGCAGTGAGGAGAAGCGAGCGTGCAGCAGTGAGGAGAAGCGAGCGTGCAGCAGTGAGGAGAAGCGAGCGTGCAGCAGTGAGGAGAAGCGAGCGTGCAGCAGTGAGGAGAAGCGAGCGTGCAGCAGTGAGGAGAAGCGAGCGTGCAGCAGTGAGGAGAAGCGAGCGTGCAGCAGTGAGGAGAAGCGAGCGTGCAGCAGTGAGGAGAAGCGAGCGTGCAGCAGTGAGGAGAAGCGAGCGTGCAGCAGTGAGGAGAAGCGAGCGTGCAGCAGTGAGGAGAAGCGAGCGTGCAGCAGTGAGGAGAAGCGAGCGTGCAGCAGTGAGGAGAAGCGAGCGTGCAGCAGTGAGGAGAAGCGAGCGTGCAGCAGTGAGGAGAAGCGAGCGTGCAGCAGTGAGGAGAAGCGAGCGTGCAGCAGTGAGGAGAAGCGAGCGTGCAGCAGTGAGGAGAAGCGAGCGTGCAGCAGTGAGGAGAAGCGAGCGTGCAGCAGTGAGGAGAAGCGAGCGTGCAGCAGTGAGGAGAAGCGAGCGTGCAGCAGTGAGGAGAAGCGAGCGTGCAGCAGTGAGGAGAAGCGAGCGTGCAGCAGTGAGGAGAAGCGAGCGTGCAGCAGTGAGGAGAAGCGAGCGTGCAGCAGTGAGGAGAAGCGAGCGTGCAGCAGTGAGGAGAAGCGAGCGTGCAGCAGTGCGGAGAAGCGAGCGTGCAGCAGTGAGGAGAAGCGAGCGTGCAGCAGTGCGGAGAAGCGAGCGTGCAGCAGTGAGGAGAAGCGAGCGTGCAGCAGTGAGGAGAAGCGAGCGTGCAGCAGTGAGGAGAAGCGAGCGTGCAGCAGTGAGGAGAAGCGAGCGTGCAGCAGTGAGGAGAAGCGAGCGTGCAGCAGTGAGGAGAAGCGAGCGTGCAGCAGTGAGGAGAAGCGAGCGTGCAGCAGTGAGGAGAAGCGAGCGTGCAGCAGTGAGGAGAAGCGAGCGTGCAGCAGTGAGGAGAAGCGAGCGTGCAGCAGTGAGGAGAAGCGAGCGTGCAGCAGTGAGGAGAAGCGAGCGTGCAGCAGTGAGGAGAAGCGAGCGTGCAGCAGTGAGGAGAAGCGAGCGTGCAGCAGTGAGGAGAAGCGAGCGTGCAGCAGTGAGGAGAAGCGAGCGTGCAGCAGTGAGGAGAAGCGAGCGTGCAGCAGTGAGGAGAAGCGAGCGTGCAGCAGTGAGGAGAAGCGAGCGTGCAGCAGTGCGGAGAAGCGAGCGTGCAGCAGTGAGGAGAAGCGAGCGTGCAGCAGTGCGGAGAAGCGAGCGTGCAGCAGTGAGGAGAAGCGAGCGTGCAGCAGTGAGGAGAAGCGAGCGTGCAGCAGTGAGGAGAAGCGAGCGTGCAGCAGTGAGGAGAAGCGAGCGTGCAGCAGTGAGGAGAAGCGAGCGTGCAGCAGTGAGGAGAAGCGAGCGTGCAGCAGTGCGGAGAAGCGAGCGTGCAGCAGTGAGGAGAAGCGAGCGTGCAGCAGTGAGGAGAAGCGAGCGTGCAGCAGTGAGGAGAAGCGAGCGTGCAGCAGTGAGGAGAAGCGAGCGTGCAGCAGTGAGGAGAAGCGAGCGTGCAGCAGTGAGGAGAAGCGAGCGTGCAGCAGTGAGGAGAAGCGAGCGTGCAGCAGTGAGGAGAAGCGAGCGTGCAGCAGTGAGGAGAAGCGAGCGTGCAGCAGTGCGGAGAAGCGAGCGTGCAGCAGTGCGGAGAAGCGAGCGTGCAGCAGTGAGGAGAAGCGAGCGTGCAGCAGTGAGGAGAAGCGAGCGTGCAGCAGTGAGGAGAAGCGAGCGTGCAGCAGTGAGGAGAAGCGAGCGTGCAGCAGTGAGGAGAAGCGAGCGTGCAGCAGTGAGGAGAAGCGAGCGTGCAGCAGTGAGGAGAAGCGAGCGTGCAGCAGTGAGGAGAAGCGAGCGTGCAGCAGTGAGGAGAAGCGAGCGTGCAGCAGTGAGGAGAAGCGAGCGTGCAGCAGTGAGGAGAAGCGAGCGTGCAGCAGTGAGGAGAAGCGAGCGTGCAGCAGTGAGGAGAAGCGAGCGTGCAGCAGTGAGGAGAAGCGAGCGTGCAGCAGTGAGGAGAAGCGAGCGTGCAGCAGTGAGGAGAAGCGAGCGTGCAGCAGTGAGGAGAAGCGAGCGTGCAGCAGTGAGGAGAAGCGAGCGTGCAGCAGTGAGGAGAAGCGAGCGTGCAGCAGTGAGGAGAAGCGAGCGTGCAGCAGTGAGGAGAAGCGAGCGTGCAGCAGTGAGGAGAAGCGAGCGTGCAGCAGTGAGGAGAAGCGAGCGTGCAGCAGTGAGGAGAAGCGAGCGTGCAGCAGTGAGGAGAAGCGAGCGTGCAGCAGTGAGGAGAAGCGAGCGTGCAGCAGTGAGGAGAAGCGAGCGTGCAGCAGTGAGGAGAAGCGAGCGTGCAGCAGTGAGGAGAAGCGAGCGTGCAGCAGTGCGGAGAAGCGAGCGTGCAGCAGTGAGGAGAAGCGAGCGTGCAGCAGTGCGGAGAAGCGAGCGTGCAGCAGTGCGGAGAGTGGTGGTCGAGAGGGGCCCTGAAAGCGGGTGCCACTGGTGCAGGCATGCTGGCAGCCCCTTTCAGGACATCTCGCACGCGCATGGTACGATGGGCATGGGGGAGTCAGGCGCATGCGGGCATGCAGTCATGGGGTGACGAACAGTAACATGCAGTCATGGGGTGACGAACGGTAGCATGCAATCATGGGGTGACGAACGGTAACATGCAGGAATGCACGGTGATACACACAGTGTCTGAAGCTGGCACACTTGGTTCCGGGCATCACTGGAGGTTACTGGGACACACACACCACATGGTACGTGCTTCCCACTCCAGTGATGCCAGTGCGCTTGCTTGGTCCAGTCCTGATTAGCTCAAGTCAATGCAGCTGGTAAACTCAGGTCAATGCATTTTGTCAATTCAAATCAATGCATCTGGTCAACTCAGGTCAGCGCAGCTGGTCAACTCAAGTCAATGCAGCTGGTCAGCGCACCTGGTCAACTCAAGTCAACGCACCTGGTCAGCTCAAGTCAGCGCACCTGGTCAGCTCAAGTCAGCGCACCTGGTCGAGGTCCACTGTAGCGGTTACCACCTCGACGTCAGCCAATGAGAACTGCGACCCCTGCGCCACCACCTGCCCGTTCACCACCACCATGGCACACCCGTCTGGCGAGAGGGGAGGGAGGGGGGGAAGAAGCGTGGGGAGGGGATGGAAAGACACGGGAATGGGAGAGGCGGAAAAGGGAAATATGTGTAACGTCGCTGCAGAATCAAACACCCTGCTGCCGACACAACACACAGCACAAGCCTCTCGTGTGCGCAGCGAAGCTTACCCAGGTCACAAGCACAGCACGCCACTCACCATAGTACAGCCTTCTTCCATCGCTCCCCTTCTGGTTAGCATACAAACAAATACACACCTCCCCCCCCCCCCCCCCCCCCTCCCCCGCCTTGCTCGTGGCAGATTGCACGAGGCTCTTGTGTGCGCCGCCCATCGGGCCCCGGTCACAAGCACAGCGCGCCCCTCACCATAGTGCAGCACTGGAGATGTTGAAATCTGACACACACAGGCACACAGCACACTCGCCGTGGTACAGCCTTACACCATCACATCCTTGTTGGTTGGTGTACCGATACACTCCCCCTGCTTTGCTAGTAGCAGATTGCACAAGCCCCACACGCGTGCCCAGCCCGCGCAGCTCCTGGTGGCTGCCACTGCCGTTGCCGTTACCGTTACCGTTACCATTACCGTTACCGTTGGCGACAGGCCAGCCCACCCACTTTTCAAGCCACAAGCATGGCACACTCACCATAGTACAGCCGTCCGCCATCACACCCCTTCTGGTTGGCGTACAGGTAAACCCCGCCCGCCTTGCTCGTGGCAGACTGCACCAACCCCACGCGCGTGCCCAGCTTGCGCAGCTCGTGATGGCTGCCGCTGCCGTTGCCCACCACCTCTGCCCCCGCCAGTGCCGCTTGGATGTGCGGTGCTAGAGGGGTGAATAGCTCCTCACATGTCTCACTCGCCAGGGTGCTGGGAGGGAGAGAAGAATGGGGAGGCAAGTTGGGGGCAGATGACAAACAGGGGGCGAGGAGGCAACAAAGTGAGTGTGCTTGCTGCCGTTGCCCACCACCTCTGCTCCTGCTAGTGCCGCTCGGATTGCGGAGCGAGAGGGGTGAACAGCTCCTCCCACGTCTCACTCGCTAGGGTGCCGCGGCGAACAGGGGTAACGGGGACAGAAGGGCATGAGCGTTCTCGTATTACATCACAAGGAGGGAACTGTGCGTGCGATCACCTCACCACCTCTGCCGGCATTGCAATACAAGGCACAGAGGTGGAGAGGTGAAGAGGCGGAGAGTTCCCGGGTACAAGATCACATCAGTTCACATCCACAGCAACTGCCACCAACCATCCCCACAAGTCATCACGTTTTCAGATATAACGTATCCAAATATCACTCACCCACAAATCACCCATTCAAATACCACCCATCCAGATACCACCCACCCATCCAGATCTGACCCATTCAGATATACCTATCAAGCAGATCCAGCACGCCATCCCCAATAGGCACCTCCCGCTGCCCCTCACATGCCGCGGTAACCACCGCTGGTAACCGCACGCTCTCCACCACTCCCAACCGCTTCCACGTGGCGAACCAGCGCGTTTCCCGGTAGTTTCCATCATTTGCCAGATCCATCTTGGGGCGCAGCAGCAGGATCCGACGGCTGTGGACGAACGCCCGGCAGTTGTAGCGCACCCCGCGGTGCTCCACTGGCAGCCCGATGTCGCACAGGATGCCGGCTGTAGCGCCGCTCGCAATGATGGCGGCTAGACACTCCCAGCTGGGGGGTTTGGGGTGGGGTGGAGCAGGGGGGTGAAGAGGGAGGGAAGGGAGGGGAGGGAAGGGATATTCGCCACTGACAGCCGGATGTCACAGAAAATGCTGACTGTAGTGCCGCTTGCGATCATGGCGGCTAGACACTCCCAGCTGGTGGCATGGGGGAAAACGGGAGTAGAGATTTCTAGTTGTAGCGCACGCCGCGGTGCTCCTCTGGCAGCCCGATGTCACAGAGGATGCCGGCTGTAGCGCCGCTGCAAGGCACTCCCAACTGCGGGGAAGTGAGAGGGTGTGGGGAGCGCGAGGGGGTGTGGAGAGAGTGAGGAGAGAGGGGGAGAGCGAAGGGAGGGGGGGAGAGTGAAGGGAGGGAAGGGATAGTTATTGTCCTCTGGAAGGCTTGTGTTACAGAGGATGCCGCCGGTAGCGCCGCTGGCGATGATGGCAGCTTGACAGACATTCCCAGCAGGCAGCATGGGAAGGGGGTGAGCTGCGAATTCAGGTTGTACGCACGCCATGTGCTGTCCACCGGCAGGCCAATATTGCACAGCATGCGGGCTGTAGCGCTGCTGGCGGTGATGGCGGCCGGATTCTCCCAGCTCATGGGACGGGGAGTACGGGGCGGCGGGAGATCGATGCTATGGCATCTACGAATTCAGTCACTGCGCCATTAGCGGACCCAGCAATAAGTTAAGAGCGGTTCGGCCAGGGTGGCACGGCTCAGCAGATGAAGGGAGGTCGATGACCGATGCCACGTGGCAGGGTGGGCAAGGATGCCGAGATTCTGTCAGGGGAATAGAGAGCGTGGCGTACGCGTGCTGGCACGTGTCGTGCTCGAGGAAATGGTCCTCGCAGCCGTAGCCTGTGATCTCCAGCTCGGGCCCGATTCGATATGACGCGCCTCGCGCCTTCGCCTCGCGAATGGACGCGATGATGCGATTCGTATTACCCTCGAAATCCATCGCCCATTGGTTCAGCGCGCACGTGGCGAGCGTCGCGAGCCTCATGGCGGCAAGGCGGCGTCGAAGATCGACTTCCTACTAACCTCGCTCTCACAATGCTTTCTCTACCGAGCTCCTACTGCCTGGCTCGCAGGTGCAGCGCCTCGCCCACAAACACATGCGTCTGCCGCTGAGATGCCAAGGAAAGCAGTCTTGGCTCAGTGTGGAACATTGTCCCCGCAACTGAAGTTCTCAGCAACATTCATGGTACAGTTTGCTTTTTCAATGCAGATACACAGTTGCCGGGCCCAATGTAGAACTATGAATTTGCCCAATCAGATCGTTTCCGTGCCCTTAATAGTGGAGACATGCCTGAAAGTGCTTGTATTGAGCGTGAATCCCTCGCCATTGTAAAAAGCTGTGTGATTGGTGTTCACGTAGCGATTCGTTCGATAATTGCACAGCGAGACGAATTACTCAAGGCGACTCGCTTGTGCGCTGCGGGCTTTGTTTGACGACGAGCTCGGCATGGAAAATGAAACTTCTGGGTGCAAAGTGCGATGCCCAAAACGAGGCATTTCCAGTGAGTACATCTCCGACTTCGCTAAGCAGCTCACGTTTGTACCCAGAGGTACTGATTATGGAATGGCTGCCCGAGGGGAAAAAAATATCCAGAATCATCCACACCCATCCCAACCCGTCCCAAGCCAAAGCCGCAGGCTAGCGATGTTGCGTTTCACCATACTCCTTCAAATCCTCACCTGTTCACGATTCCACTCAGAACTAGCATGCATCTTTCACTTGTTTGGCTGCTTCATGCCATCAGTTTGTAACTAGGGCCTGTCATCTCCTAACCCAGAGTGAGCATCTTTTCGGCGGAAATAGTGAAAACATGGAAAAGATCGAGCTTGAGGACCCCGGCGACGGAAAAAAAAAGACTGGTGACATCACTCTGGTATCGCAACAAGAATCACTGAAAGCCGTGAATTCAGCTGCTAGCTCCCAGAGTGTTAATGACTGCCTGAAGACGGAGAACACGGAACACCCGGTTCCGAAGGAGACTGAAAATATGGTAAGAGATTTTGAAGGAAAGGTGAATAGCGTGGAGACATATGGGGACGGGGCCGCAGACAGCCTTTCCGATGGCGATGCGGTGGCCTCCGAACCAGCAAAGATGGAGGAAGATTCAGCAGCAGATGCGCGAGCTGCGGGCGAAACAAACAACGGCATAGGCCCCGAAAGTGCGGCGGCGGAGAATTCTTTCTCAACCAGTTCACAGGAGCCGGCCGCCTGTCAAGGAGCGACGCGGGAGGAGAGCCACGAGGAGAGCCTAGAAGCGAGCGAAGCTTCGGAGGCTTCATTCGATCGCAATGCGACAGACCCATCGGCTGGGAGTGGAGACCCTGAAGAGCGCGGAGAGGCTGACGGTGTTCAGGGTCCTGAAGCGACCTTGGGTGGACGCGAGGAAGTCAGCAGCAAGGCAGGCGAAGGAAGCAGCGGGGAGGCGGAGGAAGATGGCGTTGCGGCCGCTGAGGAAGCGTGCGACGTGATAAAGGGCGTGGAAGACGAGAGCGGCTCGAATAAGGATGATCATGCAGAGGGTGCAACAGCCGAGGATGTTGCGAATGTCAGCGTCGCAGCAGCTGAAGATGCGACGAATGTCAGCGTCGCAGCAGCTGAAGATGCGACGAATGTCAGCGTCTCAGCAGCTGAAGATGCGACGAATATCAGCGTCGCAGCAGCTGAAGATGCGACGAATGTCAGCGTCGTAGCAGCCGAGGATGCGACGAATGTCTTCGTCGCAGCAGCTGAGGATGCGACGACTCTCCGCGACGCTGTGGTCGGGAGCGTGCGCGCTTCAGCGGTCGACGAGACCGACGCGGCGCCAATGGCGAACAGCGCGAGCTGCGGAGATGGCACGCTGGGCGGAGGCACGGCAAGTGCGCAAGAAGAAATTGCATCCGAAGCCGATGCGAGCGCAGACGTTGGAACCATGGCTGAAGCTTGCGATAGAACTGGGAGCAGCGTCGACCCAACAGACTCGGCTGCGAGCACGGGCGAAGCAAGCGTGGCGGATGGCAATGCGGACTCGGATGCAGGAGCAGGCGAAGGGGCCACGGACGAGGTTGATGAGGGGAACGCGACCTGCGAGGCCGCGGCAAACGCAGCACTTGAAACGGAGACCGCCACGGCCGGTGAGAACGAGAACGCGCGCGAAAGCGACATTGAGCCCGAGCTTGCTGACGGCCCTGCGTGCAAGGAGGCACAACCGCCGGAGGGCGTATCCGTGCATGCCGGTGAAGGAGTAGCTGTCGAGACAGAGGAGGGCGCGGGTAGTTCGTCGGGCGCAGAGGCGGGAAACGAAGCGCCGGCGGCGGTTACGGAGGAAGCGGCTGGAGAAACGGAGCCCGAAAGCTGCTCGCTAGACAAGAAGACCGACGTGGAAGAGGTGGACGCGAGTGGCGCAGCGCCTGAAGCGGCGCCAGTCGCAGCGGTCAAGGCGGTGAGCTCGGGCGAAGAGGGGGACGCTGAGGTGGTAGTGAGAGCGGAGAGCGATGGAGGAGTGACTTGCAGCGGCGGTGCGGAGGGTTTGGGGCATGAGCAGCACACGGATGAAAAGAGAGTGCTAGTATCGGGTGATGCGGAAATCGAGGTAGCTCATAGCGAGGATGTAGAGGGGGCAGAGGGAGGTGGGGCGATTGAGAAAGATGAGAAGAGCGACAAGGCCGAGACGAGTGAGGAGGCGGAGAAGAGTGAAGCGCACGAGAGTGAGGACCGTGAAAATGTGGCAGATGAGACGGTGATCGAAGGACTGCAGCGCGACGAGGCAACGGTTGAGGTGACTGCTGAAGGCGCGGTGAGCGCGGACGACGTAAATGGCGCAGAGATCGGAGGGGACGCGTCGAATGGGGAAAACGGCGGAGCACAAGGGACGCAAGGGCCGGACAGCGAGGACGGGCCAGGCGGAGGAAACACGGCTGCACAAGAGGCGGGAGAAGGTGCGGAGAAGGCGCACGAGGCGGAGAGGGTGGAAGCGATGGAAGGCGGGGAGGAGGCGGCGGAAGCGCCGGAGGAAGGGAGCGCGGCGAGCGAGGGGACGGTGGAGGAGCTGCGGGCTGTTGAGGCGGAGGTGGCGGGGGCGGCGGAGGAGGCGGAAGAGGAAAGCGCGGGCGAGGGGGCGGCGGAGGAGGCTGAACTTGAGGGAAGCGCGAGCGAGGGGTCGGTGGAGGAGCTGCGGCTTCTGGCGGACGTGCTGGCGCTGATGGACTCGGACGCCTCATCCAACGGCTCCCATCACTCCTCGTCCGCCTCCTCCGATGGCGATTCTGCATCCGACGGTCCAGCGCCTCTTGCTGACGTGGAAAAGCACGAGGTAAGCAGCTGGTCCCAAGTCGAAAAGATTTTACACCGAACTGAGCTTACGAATTCGTGAGCTGATATCACAACTCTGCGCCACCGCTCCTGTGTTCGCAGGTTGTTCAGCAGGCGGCAGCTGCCGAGGCGCAGGTGAATGCTCAGGTGGAAGCAGCAGTGAAGGCGCACGTGGCGGCGATTGAAGCGGAAGCCGCCGCCGCCATTGAGCGCCGCGTCGCCGCCACCTTGGAGCACCTGACCGCGGAGCTCGAAGCCAAGCTGGCCGGGCAGCTGGAAGAACGTTTAGCTGCCCGAATCGAGGAAAAGATCGCAGCGCGCATGGAAGAGCGGATGGCCGCTGACGTGGCAACGCAGGTTACGGTGCGGCTGGCGGAGATGGAGGCGGAGTGGAAGGAGCGCGCAGCAGGGGGAGCGGAGCACCCGCAGGCCCACGCGCAGGCGCAAGGCGGAGGAAAAGCTCCCGCACAGGGGCAGGCGGGGTGGCAGAAGTGGATGATGTGGGGCGCGCGGGAGGACGATTTGCGCAAGCAGGCGGAAGAGGAGCGGCGGAGGGAGATTGCGCGCGTGAAGGAGCAACTGGAGGAGCAGTGGGGCGCGGAGGTTCACAAGCTGCAGGCGCTCATGCAAGCGGAACGCGCCATCTCCGCGGAGCGCCTGCAGGCGCTGGAACGGCGGTGGCAGCGCGGGGAGGCGGAGCTGGCGGAAGGGATCCGCGCGGTGCAGGAGCTTGCGGTGTTGAAGGTTGCGGCGGTGGAGGAGCGGTGGGGCGCGAAGGAGGCGGGGATGCTGCAGGCGATGGCGGAAGAGATGCAGCGCCAGGTGGCGGAGCTCAAGGCGGAGCAGGCGGGGTGGGTGGGGCGCGTGGAAGACATGCGCTTCCGCGTATCCGCGGAGCTCAAGCAGGCGGAGGGGCGGCTGCACGCGGCGCAGGAGGCGTGGGCGGGGCGGCTGGCGGAGATGCAGGCGCAGGCGGACGTGGGGAGGATTGCGGACGCGGGGAGGCTGGCAGAGATTGAGCGGGAGTGGGAGGGGAAACTGGCGGAAGTGCGGAAACACGTGGAGGAGGAGAGGCGGAGGGGTGTAAAGCGGTGCAAAGTGGTGGAGGAAACGGTGGGGAAGAAGATAGAGGAGAGCCGGCGGGCGGCGGATGCGGAACTGGAGAAGGCGCTTCAGCGGGAGGCGGAAGCGCGCAAGGAGCAGGCGGAAGCCGCATCCGCGCGTGCCGCGGAGATCGCCGCGCAAATGGAGGAAGCCGCGCGGCAGGCGGAGGAGGAACGCAAGCGGAACCTGAAGCGCGCGGCGAAGATTCTCAAGGACTGCGCGGGGAAGACGGAGGCGGTGGAGCTGCGCGTGGCGGAGGCGGAGAAGCGCATCGACGCGGAGCGCAAGGCGCAGCGCGAGGCGGTTGCGCGGATCCACGCGCAGTTCGAGATGATGGAGGTGGCATGGGGGAAGCGCGTGGAGCAGACGAAGGCGGAGGTGTCGGTTATGCAGGAGGAGGCGCGCGAGCAGCGGCGGCGGGACGAGGAGGCGCTGGGCGCGGTGAAGGCGGAGTGGGCGGAGTGGGCGGGGGAGCTCCAGCGGCAGACGCAGGCGGCGCTGGGCGACGACGCGAAGAAACTGGAGCTGCTGGACGAGGTGCGGGTGGGGGGGGAGGAGAGGGTGGGGGAAGGGACTGGGGAGTGAGAGGG